CGCTTCCCGCAGGTGTCTCTCTCTGGCGGGCCCCCCCCACCGCCGTCCGCGCCGGCTCTGCCCTCCCATAGCCGCCGGGCCTGTCTGTGCACCGGCCACTCAGCCCCCAGCCCCGGGACGGACGCCCAAACCAGGCGCAGAGGGTTCGCTCTGGGCGGGTCCCCCATCCCACGTGCCGGAGGGCGGTCGTGGGGGACGGGGTGCCTGCCGCGCTGTGCTCTGGCCCTGCTGCCCCCGCTCCCCTCGGGCAGGTGGGCAGCCACCCCGGGAGCAAGCAGAGAAGCCCCGGGACCCCCGGCAGCCCCCAGGGCCCAGAGCCGTCAGGGGCGGGGCCGCGGTGCTCCCGCCAGCTTGCTGCCCTCAGGCGGGGCTGGGCTGTGCCCTTGTCCCCCCTCTGGCCCCACGGCTGCCCCCTCGGAGAGCTTCACTTGAAAGACAGGGGCCCCTTGGGGCCGGGAGTGGGAGGGCGCTGGACAGGCGGGGCCCCGTAGCTCCCAGTCCCGAGTCCTACCAGGTCCTCCTGGGCAGGCCTGGCCCCTGCTTGGAGACCTTCGACCCTGGGGTTGTAGCCAGGCAGCTAGAGCCTCTCCCGTGCCCAACAGAGCCTCGTAATCCGGCTTTTGCCCCGAGGAGTGCTGCCCTTACCTGCCCAGGTGGTGCCCAGGTGTCCCCAGGTGGGGCCTTGGCTCTCAGAAGCCCGAGTGGGGAGTGCTGGTGGCCCGCTCACCGAGCCCCACCCCTGGGGAAGCCTTGCCCGGCGCACGTGCCTGCCCAGAGCCTCGTGGGGCTGTGTGGCCGGAGCTGCGGTCAGGCGGCCGCCCGGCGCTTGGCCGGGCCGAGGCCGCCACCTGCTGGCGGATTTCAGCAGACCGTCCTCTGCCGCCTCCTCGGGCTCCTGGCGCGGCCAGACTGCGCACCCCGAACCCTCCCCTGGCGGCGCCCCTGCGCCTGTCGGGTCGTCCGCCTGACCCCTGCACGTCCCGCCCTTGGGCCCCCGGCCTGGACGGCTCTCCCCGGGGAGGGCGCTGGGCCGCGTCCCGAGGGGCGTCGGGGCGGCCCCCTCTGACGTGGACCCCTTCCAGCTCCTCACTGTGAACCCCAAGCACCGCGCCTCCAGCCTCCAGGACATGCAGGCCACCCCCTCGCTGGCCCACGTGCTGTGGGACGACCTCGTCCAGAAGAAGGTGGAGCCGGGTTTCGTGCCCAACGTGAGTGAGCTGGCAGGAGGCCAGGCGGGGGGACCAGGGTGGCGGGCGGGACTGGGGGCGGGACCGCAGGTGAGCCCCGCACCTGCCCGCCCCCCCCTCCACCAGAAAGGCCGCCTGCACTGCGACCCCACCTTCGAGCTGGAGGAGATGATCCTGGAGTCCAGGCCGCTGCACAAGAAGAAGAAGCGTCTGGCCAAGACCCGGTCCCGGGACAGCAGCAGGGACAGCTCCCAGTCCGTGAGTGGGGGCTCCGGGGAGGGGTCCTGCCCCCTGCCCTGAACTCACCGGCCACTCTCGCCGGCCGCCTGCAGCCCCTCGCTCGGCCCGCCTCCCCGGCTGCCCAGCGGGGCCCTGCGCACCAACGGGCCTGCGGCCACTGCCCCCCACCCGTCCCCGGCGGCCGAGCTGCTGGAGCGGCCAGCACGCGCTGTCACGGGCCCCCTCCCCGCTCACACTGGACGTGGCCCCGGGGGTGGGCCCTCCCTCGTCTGGCCAGTGTGGGACCCAGCCCGGTCCTGTCCCGAGAACGGGCTTCTCGGGCGGCCCCTGTGCCGGCCGGCCCCGGGCAGGGCCTCTCAAAGCAGGCTTGGAGACCGGATTCTGTGCGCGAGTGACAGGTGACCCGAGGACCCAGGAGGAAGTGGGGGAGGGGGAGCCGAGCAGGGTGGTCTCCCACCGGGTCCGGTCACGGGGACACGGCCTTCTGTGTCAGCATCCGCTGAGGCAGGGGGCTGGGCGTCTGCCCGGGGAACCCTCTGGTCTCTGGCTGAGGGCCACCCGGGAGGTGCAGGCCCCTGATGCTCTGGCTGCCGAAGCAGAGTTCGGGCTTTGGAAGGGGCCCCAGGTGCAGCCTCGGGAGGAGAGGCAGATCAGGGTGGAAGAGGCTCCCCCCGAACCTGAGGGCAATGAGGGAACCTGATCTCTGCGCCTTGTTCTGATTAACAGGAGAATGACTACCTTCAGGACTACCTTGATGTGATCCAGCAAGACTTCGTGATTTTTAACAGAGAAAAGTGAGTCCATGGGGGCGGGGGGCGGGGACCAGTGGGCAGTGATGGGGGCAGAGAGGAGCTGGGGGGATGGGCCAGTCCTGAGCCCCAACAGCCACATGGCCTCAGTAGGCCCAGGGGTCTGAACACTGGCCCTGGGGGGCGGGGAGGTAGGTCTGTGCTCAGTCCCCCTCGGGAGGGGCTGCTCCAGAGCTTCTAGTCGAAAGCTGGGGCCAGTGGCCAGGGCCTCGGGGAGACACTCAGTGGACTTCCCCCGGGGGGGAGGCCTCCTGCACGTCCGCTGCCACCACTCAAGCAAGCAGCCCACTCGGCCAATGTGTATGGGGCACCTGGGACCGGGGGGCGCAAAGGCCGTGCTGGCCGGCAGGGAGACCACAAAGACCCTCGCCCCTCCTCAGTGGAGGGACAGAGCCCAGAGCTGGGCGACCCCAGGGGAGGAGTGGCCGGGTGAGGTTGAGCACCTCCTGCAGAGGTGGCCTGGAGCTCTGGCCCAGACGGACAGCAGGTGGGGTGGTGCTCCTCCTGCCCCAGTGACCAGAGGACATGTGGGCACTGGTTTAGGACCCAGGCTGCCGTCCCAGAGGCCTAGGTGGGAATGGGGCTCAGCCACGGTCTCTGAAAAGCCCCGTCCCAAAACTGCTGACCCCAGACCTGTGATGACCAGGCCCCCTCTCAGCTCCCGGCCCTGCTGCTCCCTGCCCTGCTGGCCTCCTGCCCGGAGCCTGCCCTGCAGCCACCACCAGGGGCTCCCTGCTGGGCCCCCGTGCAGGTGACGCCCAGCACCGGTCTGTGTCCGGGCCCCCAGCCCTGTCCCTGGAGGGCCCACTCTGGAGCGCTCAGACCCGCGGCTGCCGGGCTGCTGGGGAGGCCACACGAAGCCCCTCCCGGTGCTTCCCCTTCCCCACCAGGCTGAGGAGGAGCCAGGACCCCGCCCGGGCCGCCCCGGAGGAGGCCGAGGACGCAGACGGCGAGGAGCGCCCCGCCCCGCCCACGTGCGGCCCCGTCTGCCCCTCGGCAGCGGGGAGCAGCTAGGAGCTCCCGGGCCTGCGGGGGGTGCTCAGGCCGCACTGGAGAGGGGGTGCCGCCAGAGGGACAGAGCGGCTGGCGGGCGGAGGCCTGGCGTCAACCTTCCCACTGAGCGGCCCCACTGCAGCCGGCCCCACCCGGTCCCGGCCACGTTTCCTCGGAGCAGCCGGACCACCAAGCTGCCACTGGGCTCTCGGACATGCCTGGTGACGAGAGTCAGTGAGCAAGGAGGGCGGCGCCACGGGGGACCTCTGATCACACGTGACGGTGGTCCTTCCTGGTGGCCTCCTGACCCCCTGACTGGCAGGGGCCAGGCCACGTGCATGGTGGGGCAGGCATTCTCGTCCCCGGCCACCTCTCGGCCGCATGCAGGCCTGGCCCCCAGCCCCACTGCCGCTGGCTGCCTGGAGTCCGCAGCTCACTCCCCGGAGCTCGGGGGCGGCCCAAGGTCCCCGGTTCTTGTACATGGAAGGGGAGGGTTGCGGGCCGGGAGGCAAGGACGATTTTATAAATACGAGTGTTCTGGCACTGTCTGTGGCGTTTCTGTACACTCCCACCCCCGAGAGCGACGGCAGACCCGCCAGGGGCGGGGTTTCCATGTCCTGCGCCTGCCGGGCCGTCTCGCGGTTCACGGGGAGCCTCTGTTCAGGGGTCGGGCAGAGTGCTGTGCTCCCCAGGCCCGCCACCCGGGGCTGCGTGCCGGGAGGCTGTGGCAGGGGTGGGTCCCGGTGGGCAGTGGAAGGACAGGGACCAGGACCGGTCCAGCCTGAGCTCGCTGAGCCAGGTGCAGAGCAGAGGGAGTCTTGCTGCCCCACTCGCTGGGCCGCAGACACACCGCTGGGCGTGCCCACCTGGGGGACTCCAGCCAGTGACCCGAGGGGAAGGCCAGGGTGCAAGGGGGGCAGCACTGCAGGGTGGGACAGACCCCAGAGAAAGTTCCGGTGATGTCAGAGGCCGGGTGGGGCGGGGGTGAGGGCAGTCTGGGTTTTGTGCAGACACGTACATTTTACGTGCGACTCTGGGACCCCAGGACACAGCGGCCGGTGTCCCGGGGCAGGCGGCAGGGCCGTGGGTGGGTCTGGCTCCACGACTGCCCGGTCTCTCGCTGAGCAGGGGGCACGGTACGTGGACGTCAGCCTGGGTGGAGCCCCCCCGCATCAGCTCCGGGGCTGCAGTGAGCTGCGCGCTCAGCCAGGGGGAGCCCCCTGAATGCGGGGGGCCAGCAGGACAGACGGGGGAGCTGCCCTGGGCCTGACGCTCCCCTGGTCGTCCCAGTGACCGTGACCGTCTGCTTCCGGGTTGGGGTGTTCCATTCCTGGGGTGCAGCACTAGAACCATTTTTAGGAGGAGGAGGCTGAGGCAAGGGCCGCCCAACAGTCCCTTGTTCTGGAACATTCCGGGCAGCCTGGCTTCAGGTGTGGATCAGAGCCCTGGGCTGCTCCACCTTAAGCTCACGGCCATGTCGCCCCCAACCATCTGCTGTGGCCCGTGCCCACCTGGTCAGGATGTGGTTGGAGGTCCTCCTGGTCCAGCCCTGTCCCTCTGACCCCCTGGCTGCCCCGACCTGCAGGCCCAGGTTTGGGAGCACCGTTCCTGGGCCCCTTTCCCAGGGGGAGCCCCTCCCCACCACATGGACCCAGCCCTGCCCCTTCCACGGCCGGCACTGTGCCAGACTAGTGGCCAGTTGGGGGGGCCCAGGGTCCGGCGCAGAACCCACTCACGGGACGGAGAAGTGGGCAGCTTCCAAACAACGCTTTTAATCGGGCCAGCCCCCAGCAGACCGGCGACGGAGCTGGGGTCCCGGCTGGGGTGGCATGCAGGGTCCTGGCTGCGGCGGTCCCCACCGCATGGAACTGCTGCTCTACTCGACTACGGCGACGCACGGCCTGCGACGGCAGGGGGCGTCCTAGCTACGGTCCTACTCCGCCCTGGGGCCTGCGACTAGGGAGGCCTGGGTGTGGTCCTCCGGGGGAGGGCGTGCAGCCGCGGCGGCAAGGCTGGGCCTGGCTCTGTTCCCTGTGGGTCCCTGAAGTCACAGCGACCCCGATGGGGCCCAGCTCACGGGGCGCCGCCGCTCCTCGTGCCCAGGAGGGCAGGGGGTGGGGCACAGGCTGAAGCTCTGCAGGGAGCCCGGTGGCAGAGCTGGGGCTCTGAGGGGCAGTGGCTGACACCTGTGTGTGGTGAGGCCCCGGGGCCCCACCACCCCGGGGTAGGGATGGGGCAGCAGCCGCGCCTACACGGGGCACCCAGCACTCAGGCCGGGGCAAAGACGGGAGCTGCCCCTGGCAGTGACCCCTCCCTGGACGAAGCTCTTATAGCGGCCCCGGGGCCCCCGAAGGAGCATTCCCGGAGAAGGGAGGGGAGGCCCAGCACCTTTCAGAGTCGGTTTGACCAAGGGAAAGCTAGCGGGTGAGCCCGGCCCACCCCACCCAGTGGGGACGGCGCCCACCCACGTGCTCCGCCCGGAGCTGGCCCGGCGCCTAGGACAGCGAGGTGATGTTGGAGCGCCCGCCGGGGGGCGCCATGATCTTCTGCGCCGTGCGCCGGGCGATGTGGTCGTCGGCCTGAGACCCTGCGGAGACGGGCGTGTGGGCGCAGGGAGGGGTCCGGGAAGGCAGAGCCTCCCCCCGCCCCGCCCGCCGCTGTGGGTCTCTGACGCTCCCTGGGGGGCCCTGGTGGGCAGACCCGGTGACGGGAGGGTGCTCCTGTCACCAAGGCCCTGGACGTGCAGGACAGTGGGGCCCTTGCAGTGGGCAGGGGGGCTGAAGGTCACGCCGGTCTGGGGCACAGGCCAGCCCGGCCTCATCCCTCCAGGGGGTCTCAAGGCTGCCCCCCAGCATGCAGATTCCCAAGGGGGTGGGCCCCTTGTCTCGGGTGGGGGGTGAGCAGGGGTGGCTGTCGCCTCCCCAGGGGCAGGCTGGCCCCACCCAGGGGCTGGAAGGAGAGGGGGCGCCTGGCTCGGGGCTCAGCACTGCGGGAGGCTCGGCCACACAGCTGGCAGAGGCCGGAGACGGGCGGCCTGTGCACCGGGGCCACCTGAGCCCTCCCCCGTGTGGCAGCACACCCTCCCTCAGCGCCCGCTGCAGCGGGGCTGCCACGGGGCGGGGCAGCTGGACTCCCTCGCGGCCCCAGAGAGGCGGGGCAGCCCACACTCACCCTGGGCGCAGAGCGACAGCCCCGGCGCAGAGCGACAGCCCCGGCCCAGGCCCACACGGGGGCAGGGAGGGGCTCCCCCTTGGGCCTCACACCCCTGGCCCCTCACACGGCTGGGCCCCCTGCACGGCAGTGGCCCTCGCCCCCGGGCACAGACCCAGCTCACCAGACAAGCTGAAGCCCGACTGGTGCAGGTTCCGCACGGGCGGCACGGAGACCTTCCCTGGGCAGGACCCGCGGGCCTGGGCGCCGCCCCCAGGCTTGGCGGGCACCATCACCTCGTGGACCGGCCCGTCGTAGAGACCCCGGGGCACGCCATGGATCTCAGCCAGCTGTGGGTGGAGGGAGCTGGGTGTGAGGGGGCCAGGCCACCCTGCCGCTGCAGGGCAGGGGGCTCCTGCCCAAAACTTGGCCCCTCCACTCGGCTGGGCCAGAGCCAGCGGGAACTGGTGGTGGGTCCCCCTTGCCAGGCTCAGGAGCTCTGGGGCTCCCTGCCAACGGGCATCCACCTGTGTGCATGGATACCCACCTCCCTCCCCTCCCACCTGCACACATGTGTACATACCTCCCTCTCCCACCTGCACACGTGTACATACCTCCCTCCCATCTGCACACACGTGCACACACGTCTCCCTCCCCTCCCACCTGCACACACGTGTACATACCTCCCTCCCACCTGCACACATGTGCGCACACGCCTCCCTCCCCAGAGGCCGTGCCCAGCACTGCAGGCCCCCTGCCCAGACAAGAGCAGCCCTGCAGAGGAGGCGGCTGTTTGGCATCTGAAACCAGCCGCCCCACGGCCTCTGCCTCCTCGGCACCCGCCGTCCTGCAGCCCTGGCACAGCCCCCCCACTCCAGCCTGTGGGAGCCCCAGGATGGGGGCCCCTGCACGCAGCTCCCGAAGCCGGAGGCGTTTCCTGGCAGCCGCCACGACAGACGGGAGGCCCATCGGTTGGAGCGAAGCCTTCAGATGTGCTTGTGCTTCGGCCTGAGCCTGCCCCGGGGGGTGTGGTTTACACCCATGACCGCTGGACTGGGCCTGAGCTCAGTCCCGGGGGACCTCTGACCAGGTCCTGCCCCCAGGGTGGGGGGAGTGCTCCCAGGCAGAGGCACAGGCCAGCGAGAGTCACTGCTGTGGGACACCCGGTCACGAGGACTCGGCTGAGTCGACCCCCGCCCCACAGCCCCAGGTGCAGGACGGGGAGCCCGTCACCTGCGTGCACCTCAGGTGTCGTCCCCTCTGTGCCTGGCTGTACGCGAGGCTGGTCTGCCATGTCACAGGCTGCGCTGGAACCCAGCCTGCAGCGGGCGGGCGTGGGCGGGGCTGGCCGGGAGCAGAGACCCCCCCCCGGGGGCGTGGCAGGTGCACGGAAGGCCCGAGTGCTCCCACCCGGCCCGCGGCCCGGGCCTTACCCGGTTGCGCGCCTTGATCCTCTTGTAGACGAAGTCCGGGAACGTCTTCCGGGGGATGAAGCGTCCGGCCCCGGGGGTGACGCACAGCTGCCCGTCCTCCAGGACCACCCTGCCCTGGCTGATGACCACGGCGGGCGCCCCGCGGCACTCGACGCCTTCAAAGATGTTGTACTCCACGTTCTGGGGAGGCAGGGCGGGGGTCCGGCACCGCCCCCAAGGCTCCCCTGGCTGCCCCCGTCCCCGGGGGCCCGTGTGCCCGTGTCTGAGGGGACGCAGCCCACTCGGCTGGGCCGGAGCCAGCGGGACCTGGCGGTGACCTCCCGTGCCCGGGCCTGCGCCTGCTTCTTGGGAGAAAGGGCACTTGGATGAGCCCGCACTAGGGGGCTGGCCGCAGGAGTGGGCAGGCACGGGGCGCCCGGCCACAGAGTACAGAGGGACGTCCTGGCCCGTGTCCCCACCGAGACGGGTGAAGCTGCCCACTGGCCGCCCGCCCTGAGGCCCCTGGGAAGGCCCCCCCCACCGACCCTGACCCGGGGCCTGGCCTCTCTCACCAGGTTGTGGCTCTTGGCAGAGATGATCTTTGTGGCCTTGGGGTTCCACAGAACCAGGTCGGCGTCGGAGCCCACAGCCACCCGCCCCTTCCTCGGGTAGAAGTTGAAGATTTTGGCTGCATTCGTGCTGGTCACAGCGACGAACTCATTCTCATCCATCTTCCCCGAGGCCTGGGCAGCGAGAGGGCGAGCCGAGGGGTCGCACACGCCACAGGGACACGTGGCCCCCACTCCCCACGTCCTGGGGGCCAGCAGCGATCAGCCCGCACGCCCAGAGCATGTAGATGGTAGATCGGGGGGTCTGGCCCAGCCCCCCAGCTTCTCCCTGTCCCTGTGCTCACTCTGAGGGTGAACGGACAAGCCCCCACAACATCTGTGTCCCTTGAGGCAGGTGACCGTCCCCCCAGACGGCCAGGAGGCCTGGGGCAGCAGAGCTGGGAGAGGAGCCGGGCCTGGGCCTGGGCCTGGGCCCGGGGAAGGGCCGGGGGTAGGGGTGCGGGGGACAGACCGTGCCAGGCAGGGCTTAATGCAACGGGGAAGGGGGGCGCAGGTGGCTCTTGCTGGCCCTCTGCCGCCTGCACAGGTGTGACGTGAGGCTCGGCGGGGGGCCGGCTGCAGGGCTGGGGCTGACGCCTGGGCTCCGACTCCACTCCACGCGGGGCGTTGGCTGGCTCAGCGCTTCCCGCTCGGATGAACCAGCAGGGCCCGACACAGCCGGCTCCGGCTCAGGAGACACGCCCGGGCCCTTGGACTTACCACACACTTCTCCCAGACCACGGACATGCGCTCCTCCACGCCGTTGGTGCCCTCGGGGATGAGGGTGAAGTTGTCTTTGCCGACAGCCTTCTGGGCGGTGGTGAAGGTGCAGTGGGCGCTGCCGGTCACCTGGAGGTCCCCGCTGGGAGCAGGTGGGTCAGGGGAGCCCAGCGGGGCCTGGCCTCCCTCAGCCGGCCAAGGCCGCTCAGCTTTACTCCCCCCGCTCTGGGGCCAGTGACCCAAAGGGCCACAGGGTGTCTGTGAGGCTGGCGCTGGGTGAAGCCGGTGCCTCAGGGTGGGGGCGGGGCGGGGCGGGGCGGGGCGGGGCGGGGCGGGGCAGGTCAAGGTGGATGCTTTGGTGGGCCGTGGGGTCCAGGGTTTGTGGGGGGGGGGGAGGCTAGAACCACCCACGCGCCAAGTTCATGCCCTGCACGGAGCACACAGGCCCCCTGGGGCGGCCCAGGGGCCCCTCACCTGGACAGCAGGGCGGCGAGGTGGTCGGCAGTGGTGGCGTCCGGGCTGATCGGGGGCGACGTCACGAAGGCCGCGGCCTTTGCCCAGTTCTTGCTCCAGTAGTGTGAGCCGTCGGCGCCCAGGCTGGCGGTGGTGGGCTCCCCAAACACGACCAGCCCTGCGGGGCGGCCCCGGGTGTCCCTGGGTTTCCTGACCCTGCACAGCCTGTCCCCTCCCCTGGGTCGCCTGGCCCTGCTCCCTCGCACCCCTGCCGGGGGCCAGGCCTGCTGGGCACTGCGCTGGGCCACAGGGCGGAGTAAGGCTCCGCCCCCTCCCTGTCTGCACAGACCCCGGTTCTCCTTATTCACCCCACCCCCCACCCCTTTGTGGGCGCTCTGTGGGCAGAGGGCACCCAGATGCTGGATGCGCGGAGTGTCCAGCCAACAGTAACATGGGCTCCGGGTGGTGGCGGGGGTCAGCTGGGCCTGGTCCCCGAGCACTCGCCCCTCCCCCGGCAGGCTCTGTCGCCCCAATAGGCCCAGGGTTTGCCTCAAGGGCCCTGGTGAGCAGCCGCTGCTCCAAGACGCCACACAGGGAAGTGGGGGGCGGGCAACACCCTCGGGGAGGGCGCCCGCCCGGGTGAGGCCGATTTTCAGTGGGGCCTGACCCCCGACCCCCGACCCCCTGCCCAGCACCCAGCCCCACGCCCGTCGCTCACCCTTGCGCTTGGCCCGGGCCACCACGTCGGCGGCGGCCTTGCTCATCACCTTGGTGACGTACAGGGGGCAGCTGGCCTGCTTGGCGATGGTGACGGCTCGGAACACCGCCTCGGCCTCCACCTGGGGACAGGGGGCTCAGGCAAGCGCGGGCCTCCCGGCCGGAGCGGGCCCACCATCCCCCTCGGGCCCTGGGCCCGGAGGGGCCACCCCTGGGTGGGTGAGGACCCACACCGCGGCTGCAGCCTCGAGCCCGGGGCTTGGGGTGACCCGTGGGCACGGGAGACACGCGCCTGGTGGGGGACAGAGGCCCGGCCACGGAGCCCGGACCCGCCCGCAGGGGGAGGCGGCATCGGGGGTGCAGTCAGTGCTGGGGGCGCACACGGGGCGGGCACGGCACCCACCTCCTCGGGGCGGCTGAGCGCGTGGCCCTCGGGGCCGGTGACGCCGAGCTCCAGCAGCCGCTTCTGCTCCTAGAGACGCCGACAAGGGGCCCCGTTCCAGCGCCGGCGCACCCCCAGGGCCTGGGCCTCGCCCACAGGGAACTCAGGTGCAGGGGGCACGCTGGCGGGGAGACTGCCGCTCCCCGGACTACAGAGGAGGGACCGGGGCTGGGAGAGGGCGAGGGACTCGCCCAAGGTCACTGGGCGGCCCCCGGGCTTGGCTGCCCTGCTGGGTGTGCACAGGGGTGGGGTGGGGTAGGGGGGGCTCTGCACCTGCCCCAAGGGGCCCCCTGAACCTCCCAGGGGCCCCGCAGCACCTGCCCCTGCGGGAACTGGAGCTGAGGGGCCACCAAAGGCACAAGGAGAAAAAAGTCAGGTGCGGGGCCCGGAGGTTGTGGGCACCCCCCTCACAGCCCCCCCCGCCCCGGAGTGTGACGGAGGGACAGGCTCTAGTCCCACACGGTGCTCTCGGGTCAGCAGGACGACCAGGGCCAGCCCCACGAGGGGCCTGCACCCGGGGCCTGGAGGAACCCCGAGTCTCAGCCACCCCCACGGAGCAACATTCGGTTTGGGGACGGTTTGGGTCAGTGTGATGACCACAGAACACTCTGCTCCAGCTAAAAGCTCCCCCGACTCCCCGGACGCCCTGCCTTTCTGACCTCTGACCGGGCAAACGACTAAGCTCAGTATCGCCCCCCTCAGGGTCTGTGGGACGAGGGGCGCACAGGCCAGTGTCCGGGGGGGGCCCGCCCCCCGGCCCCCCCAGCCCCCCCAGCCCCCCCAGGCCCCCCCCGCACCTCCTCCACGATGTCCCCGTTCTCCGCGTGCACTTGCGCCAGGGCCCCCAGGTCCCGGATGATGCTGAAGATCTCGTACATCTGAGGGGAGAGGCCGTGGGTGGCTGCGTCTCTCCAGGGGCCGCCCAGAGACCCCTGCCCGCCCCCTCCCCTGGGCGCCAGCCCTTACCTGGCCGTCGGTGCACTGGCACCTGTCCTTGTACGCCATGAAGACCAGGAAGGAGTTCACGCCTGGGGGAGGCACAGGGTGGGGGTCACGCCCGGGAGCACCCTGCTCCTTGTCTCCGGAGGCGCTGTCCCCCCAGCTGGTGGCACGGGGCCACTCGGACACCAGCGCCACCGACAGACACTGCCCAGCAGGCAGCGACAGAGGACAGAGGGCCCACACCACCCCCGCCCCTGCTCCTCACGCCCCAGGATCGGGGACTGGAGGCCCCCAGAGGCAAGGGCCAGTGAGACGCTCACAGCCCCTGGGGACCCCCCGGGCCCTTCCTACGGTCACCTGACTTGGGCCAAGTCCCCTGTGAGGCCGGGATGGGGTTTCGGCCTCAGGACTTGGGGTGAAAACTCACGGCCCTGACAAGGGGCGGCCCGTCTCAGCACCCGAGGGTGCGGACGCCGCCTCCTTCCGAAAGGGCCTCGATCTCCCGGGAACACAAACAGTGCGTTTCCTTCACCCACAGCCAGCCACGAGGGGACTGGGGTGGCAGCGGCGGGTGCAGTTACGGGGACAGTTAGAGGAGGCGTCCCTCAGGCACGGGGGCAGGGGACCCTCAGTCCGGACCCTCTGGAAGCAGACCGGACCCCCGAGGGACTCTTGTCCCAACCCCCCGAGGCCTGGCCACCGCCCGGGGTCGGAGGGCGCAGCGTCCAGCAAGGCGGTGCCTGCGGGGGGGGGGCCTCCCACCGAGACCAGCGAGACCAGGGGCCCTTCCCAGCCCGGCCCAGCCCCGCCCGGCCCAGCCCCACCCAGCCCCTCAGCCAGCCCGGCCCAGCCCCGCCCCGCGGGTGCTCACCCTTGTCCTTGACCAGGGCCTCCAGCTCCTCCCGGGCGCTCTCCTGCCAGCGGGGCACGTCCACGTGCAGGGAGTAGTCGCAGCACGCCCCGCGGTCCGCCAGCTCCCGCCACTGCTCGTAGGCCGCCAGCAGGCTCACCCCCACGTCGGGGAACACGTGGTCCACTGCGGGGGCAGCCGCGTCAGCCGAGCCCCCCTTCCCGGCCCCTGGGGACAACCCCGGCCTCCCAGGAGGTCCCGCCCCCGAGGGGGGGACCGGGCACAGAGCGGAGGCCGCAGGCCCCTCCCCGGGGGCCCACCCTGCCGGAAACCCGCCGTCAGTTCCGTCCGGAGAGGCACCGGCCCCTCTGAGCAGAGAGACGGCTCCGGGTCCCGTCCCCTCGCTCCCTGGTGCACACGCCACACCCCAAGAGCGCAAGGGGCAGCCAAGGGCCGCGACCTCCTGTGCGGGTGCCCCTGGGGGTCAGGCAGGGAGGCGCCACTGTCCACGGTGCGGGACCTGGGAGCCTGCCCAGAAGGGTGGCGTGGAGCTGGCCTCCCTGGGCCTCCCCGGGCCTCCCCGACTGCACACGCCTTAGTCAGGTCAGGGCCACCCGGCCCCTGCGGAATCTGGGGGTGCACACAGCCCCGGCACCGGCCCCCCAACCCGCAACCTCACGTCCAGTGTCCACACCCGCTCACAGCCGCCCCAGGGTGCTGGCAGGGCCTGGGCCCCCTCCAGCACAGCCCTCGCGCGGGGCCCTCATGTTTCCACGGCTCCGCCGGCGAGGCTGGGGCCCTGCGGTGGGGGTGCCCGTCCCACCCTGCAGGCCGTCCCCGCGCCCGCCGGCTGCTGGCAGGTGGAGGAGGCAGATGGCTCGGCAGAAGGCAGCCCATGCCGGCAGCCTCTCTCCGTCCCCACGGCGACACCTCACAGCGTGTCTGAGGCCTGGGCACTGGCACAAGCAGGTGACGTCAGGCAGGAAGGTGTCCTGGCTGGCCGGGGCCACCAGAGACCAGCAGGAGCCGTGGCCGGACACGACCGTCTTCTGGGTCAAACCGAAGACGGACCATCAGTCGGCTTCTTCACTCCGAGGCTGAGGCAACTGCCCTGGTTCTGACCTCGGCCAACCGTCCCGTGTGACGAGGCCCGGGCCCCGGCGGCACTCACGGTGACCACCCAGCGCCTCCCGCACAGGGGCTCCCCGGTGTGCACGAGCTCCCTGCCGCCGCCGCCCTCACGGGCGAGGAGCTGCTCCCTGAGGTCTCGTGGCCAGAGCTCGGCGGAGCAGGGCCCACCCGTGTGCGAGACCGGGTCTCCGGCGTGGCAGACCCGTCCGTCCTCATTGTCCGAGGCTGGGAGCGGGGCTGGGCCCGGGGCCTCGTCCAGTCACTCTGTCCCGGCCCCTGAGCTCACGGAGAGCGCGTCCCTGCACGAGGCACCTGTCACACGGGACCTCCCGAGGCTCTCACGAGGACAGCACGCGGGCCGGAGGGGCTCATGCCCGGCGCAGAGCCGGCCTGACGGGAAGGTGACCCAGGGGGCTGCTGACGGGGTCAGAGCGAAGTTTCTGTCATCCTTTTTCTGAAAACGCAGTGCGCCTCTTGAACTCTTCCCCCCGGAGGCAGGGACTGGCCACTGCCCAGGCCTCTGCGGCGTGAGGCCGGGGGGCCAGCGTTCCAGGCGACGCACCGCTCGTGTGTCCGGAGCGTCTGGTCTCCAAACCTGGTCCTCGGCCAGCGGCGGTCCCCCAGGAATAGTGAACAACGGGGCGCTCTCCCCCGTGACCCACGGAGCCCCGGGAGCACCCCAGGGCTGGCCTCACGAGGGACCAGCACGAGGGGCCAGGTGACCGGGGAAGGCACTCCCGGGCCCCGTGACGGGGACGCGGCAGAGGACGAACGGGACGGAGGAAACCCCCACCTCGTGACACGCCCCCCGCAGTGGGGACACTCACGGATCATGGTGGTCCCTCCCGCCAGGGCCGCCTTGGTGCCCTGGCAGAAGTCGTCGGCCGGGGTCATGCCCAGGACGGGCATGTGCAGCCTCGTGTGCACGTCCACGCCCCCCGGAAGGACCAGCAGGCCGTGGGCGTCGACGGTCCGGACGCCCCCGGGCACGACGAGGTTCTCTCCGATCTGTCTGGACGCAGCAGAGGGGGAGGCCGCGGGTCAGAGGTCAGAGGTCGGAGGGAGCCCCAGTCTGCGCTGGGACGGGCTCCCAGGCTGACTGGGGGGTGGGGGGTGCGTTTGGGCTCCTGTCCTTGGGGAACAGGGCCCCACGGCCAAGGCCCCCGGGACCCCGTCAGAGAGCAGGACGCCCAGCGGAGCGGCTCGGGTGGCCGGCCTGGGGGACCCGGCCCTGTGCGCACGCCACAGCCCTGGGGGGTCCACGGGGGGGTCCACGTGCCCTCCCCCGACTGGTGGCCGGAGACGCTTCGCACCACAGGCGGGTGTGGCCGACGACCCTGAGCCCCGAGCCACACCAAGGCTGGGGTGACGCAAGAAGCGTGGACGCCGCCGTCCTGTTTTCTGAGACGCACAACTAGCAGGTGGCAGGAGTCCCGCCGCCCCAGGCCAGGGGACACACGACTCGCACGCATGCCACGGGACGGCACGCCCCGGACAGCACGCCCCGGACGGCACGCCATCAGTGTGCGTGCTGCGACCCGTGTCGGCGGGAACTTACTTTATCAGCCCGTCCTCCACGTAGAGGTCGGCGTGAAAGGACTGGTCGTCGTTCACGACCTTCCCGCCTCGGATCAGAAGGCGGTCGCTCTGCCGCACACAAACAGAAACACGGGTGAGTGCCCTCCAAACCGAGTCACATCTTCAGTGCATCTCGCTCCAGGCTTGTGACGGAAACACTCGGGCGTCGTCCGAGCACGGGAGACCCAACGGAAGGGCCAGCGGCACTTGCCATCACGAAGGGGGGGCGGCCCCGCCCACCCGAGGGCCTGGCGCCCACCCAGCGCCCCCAGCACCACCCCTGCTGATCGGCGGACCCCCCAGAGCCGCCTCCCACACTGGTCAGCAGGGTGCCCCCCACCGAGGCACCAGGATGAAGAGGGAGCTGGCTCTACTCTGCTAGGAAACGACCAGGTCAATGACACCGCTGTGACGGAACGGGCTGGAGTCTGGCACCGGACGCGGCGCCCGGGCTGAGGGTGGAGGCCCACGCACGTCTGCGCCTGGTCTTCCAGCGGCCCCCCCTCCCCCCACTGCCTCGGAGACACCACACACAGGGCCGTGAGGAACCCGAGAGGAGGAGGAGGAGACACGATGGGCGACGGGGGAGGGGCGTGGCGGCATCCTGGGGGCGGAGAAGGGCCTGTCTGGGGGGTCTGAGGGGCTGAGGCTGGAGGCCACACGCCCGTGCAAAGGCCCTGCGGCAGGAGGAGCTTGAACGGACACAAGACACAGGAGGGCACCGGGGGCTGGAGACCTCCTGCAGGTGGGGTGAGCAGCCCGGGCCGGTGGGGGGGGGGCGCGTGCTGGGCTGTAGCCTAGAACCTGGGCGGTTTCCGAGGCTGCCGGGGAGGAGGGGCCCGGGGCCAGGGTTGCAGGGCTGCTGAGACGGGGCCCAGAGAGGCTGCTGGTGAAGAGGCCACAGCAGGTGACGTGCCAGGAAGGCATCAGGCGAGCGCAGGGGCCGGTGCGGCCTGGAGGCGCCGCCCCCCGGTGTCGGGAGCCAGGCCAGCTCCCCTGGGTCCCCCGCAGCACGGAGCTGGGGCCCTGGGCGGGGCTGACCTGACACTGGGCGGCCATGACCCCTTCCAAACGTCGGGACAGAGCGGGGCACAGTGCAAGGGCTGTCGGGGTGACGGCCGGACCTCGGGGAGGGGAATGGGGAGAGGGGCAGAGTGCAGACCCGTGCGGCCGAGGGTCCCCCACCACCTGGCCTGTGGGAAAGAGGGCGCCCACCCAGAGGCCAGGCCAGAGCTCCGCCTGGGGTTCCGGCTCTTTCCGCTCCATCCGCCTGAGGCTGAGAGGGCCGAGCGCCGACCCTGGAGGGCGTGAGCTCGGGGAGCTTCGCAGCCGGTCGATGGCCCAGGGCCCCTGGGCCTGTGGACGCCGTTCCCTGTCCCCACTGACACCTCACGCCCTCCGGGTCGCAGGTAAAACCCCCCCGGAGTCTGCGGCCGGAGCGGATAATTCTACAGTTTACTGTGGCTGAATCACATCCCCCCAACTTTCATGCCCGGTGAAAAGAAGTGATACGAAATTCACATGCCAACCCTCTCCCCAGGGAGGAAGAGCCTTGAGATCTGCTGTCCCCCACCCCCCACCCCGGACTCTGACCCCCTTCCAGGGGTTGGAACCCAGAGAGAAATGCAGTCGGGATGGGGTGCAACACTCAGGGTTGGGGGGACTTCCCTTAAATCAGCCGCCTTGCCCAACACCTCCCTCTGGGAAAGGGTCTTCCTGCCATCCCCCCTTAAGCCCTACTCCCACCCACACCCCTCCCCCAGCCGGCCAGCATGGGGGAGGAGAGGGCTGCTTGCTCCTTGAGGGTCTCAGGAAGTGAGCTGGCAACCCCTCCGCCCCTCCCCTGCACACAGGGGCCCAAGCTGGAGCTGGGTCGGAAACCCTGCCGCCCGCCGCCGTCCAGCTGGCGCCCCGGTGCTCCCCTCCCTCCCTCGCTGGCCCCAGGCGCCTGGAGGGGCGGCTTTGTCTCCTGGCAGCAAAGGGCGGAGGGTCCGACCTCCCGCACTGGTGCGAGTGGGTGTTGGGGGGGTCTCCTCCTCCCAGGGCTGGGGGTGCCCGCTCTGCACCTAGTGAGCTCGCCTCCCCGGAGCCTCCGAACCCCGGATTCACGCTGGGGTTCGGTTCGGGCTGCCAGGGTCTCCGGAGAGCCGCCGGGCAGAGTCGCATTGTCTCGGAGGGAACAGGAGCCCCGGACACCGCGCACGCTGCCCGGGGGGCGGGCGCCCTGAGCGGCGGCTGCGCTGCCGGCCGAGGCTCCAACAAAGGGCCGAGCCCGAGGCGGGAGTCCGAGACCGGACCCACAGCCTCCCTCTGGCCACCGTGGGGAGGGAGGCGCACCTGCGCGCTGGAGAAACGGGCCTGGCCCGCGCCCTCCCCGAGCTGAGGGGTGAGTCCCAGGAAGCCAGCAGGGCCGGGCCTGTGCGCTTGGCTCCTTAAGGGGGTCGGGGCGGTGCTCGAGGAGACCCCAGGCCCGGGAAGGGCCGGGGCCCAGACAGAGGCTTGTGCGGGGCTGGGCCCAGAGGGCCGGGGGTTCTGGAGCGGGGAGGAGGCCAAGGCGGTGGGCAGAGGGGGTCGGGAGAGGGGCTCACCGTGATCCGGGGGATGCTCTTCTTGCCTTGGAAGGACATTCTCCTCCTCCTCCGGCGGGTCCGGCTTGGGGGCGCGGGGCGGGGGCTGCTAGGGTCAGGCGCGGGGACGTGGGGGTCCTGAGTATCCGAGCAGGAGCGCTCAGGCCCTTACGACTGCGTTCCAGGCCCCACCCCGCGCGGGCCACGCCCCCGAACAAGCCCCTCCCTCGACGGGCCCCGCCCCCTCCCCCCGCGGCTGCTCCATTTGCATTCAAGTTTCGCGGCGGCCAAGCTCAGTCCCCTCCGTCTAGTCCGTCACCTCCCGGCCCCAGGACCCAGCACTGGGCCGCGCCGGGACCGGAAGCCCTGGGTGGGTGCGGACCCTGTGCCACTGCTGCCCGCGCGAGGTGCGAACCTCGCCCCCGGGGGGAGGGTAGGAGAGGTCGGTCAGGGTCTCGCCAGGCCAGCCAAGGCCCCGCCGCCATCCCCTGTGACCTGAGGCACCCAAGGCCACGGGGGTGGAACCCCATCTCAAGTTCAGGTCCAGGCGCTCCCTCCGGGAGCCCGACTCTGCCCAGGAAGGGCTCTGCGGCCCAAGCCGAGCTCCTTCAAGGACAACCCGCGCGGGGTCGCACGGGGTCAGAGCACTGGGCTGCGCACTGACCCCGGGATAGGGCCGTGCAGGCGCCCCCCAGCGAGGCTGCTCCCTGTCCGCTACCCAAAGCTTAGGGACCGGAGGGAGGGGACAGGTTGGAGAGAGACACACGGGAAAAGGAAGAGACACGGAGATGGAGAGAGGCACAAACAGGCGACCCAGAGCCCAGGACGGGCAGCCGCCATAACCCCGGCCCCAGAGGCCAAGACCCCGGTCGGAGCTGGGGCTGGGCTGGGGGAGCGGAAGGCGAAACACAGAAGCCCCCGGACCCGCCGGGTGCAGAGAGGCCCCGCCTCCGGCCCCGCCTCCGGCCCCGCGTCCCTTCGGGGGTGCTGGAGGAGGTGGGGCCGGAGGATGCGCTCCGGGCCCTCGCGCCGCCCCCACGCCGGGCGGCCTCCAGATGTGGGAGTGCGGGCGTCTGGGGAGTCAGGGACCCACCTCGCGCTGGCCCCGCCGCCCACAGCCTCTGCCCTGCGGCCACTACCTGCCCCGGGCCGCCAGCCTGGGTCACCAGGGCCACCCTTGAAGAGCTGCTGCGGCCGCCCGCCACCTTCGCCCGGCTCTCGCAGGCCCTCCGCGTGGCCCTGTGGTCCGCTGTAGGGCTCTGTGGCGGAGGGCCCGGTGGCCGCCACCCGGCACGTCCAGACGCAGGATCTTGTTCTCGATGGCGGCCTGCACACGGCGGAAGACCCCGCTGGACTTGGGCCGGGACCGGGGGCTGCCTGCGCCCGGCGTCCCCAAGGATGTGGGCACAGGCTCCCGGGCTCCAGGGGCTGGCATGCAGCCATGGCGGGGGGAGGCAGGTCCTGGCACTGCCTGCGGGCCCAGTGGACCTGGGCCTAGTGCTTCCCTGCCCCCCCCCCCCCCCGTCCGCCCCTATCCCAGAGGCTGCAGGTGCCATAGGCTGACCTGGCCCCAGGGCGCGCCCTGTCCCAGCCAGAACCCTCTGCTCCCCTGGAGCACGAGGGGTGTCCAGGCACCCGTTGTGGGGGGTGGGGGGGCCCCGCCACAGGCTGGGAGGCCCTGGCTCCAGACATTTCCATGTTTCTGCGGGGTTGGCCGGGGAGAGTGAGGAAGTGTGTGCATGCGCCCTGAGAACTGCTCCCGGCCGCTCTCAGAGCCAAGTTCAAGGTTGGGGAGAGAGCAGGCACAGCAGGGCGCTCCCGGCTCGCCCAGGGCCAGGGGTCTGTGCTGCAGCCCAGGGGCCCTGCAGGTGGGTCTCGAAGGAGAAGTCGCTGCCACCCCTGCGTCCTGTCAGTGTGGACAGCAAGTCACCACAGGCCCCGGCGCCCCTGACCGAGCACCCTGAGGGGCACGGGCGCCCCGCAGGGCTAAACCGCCGCCGCCCCTCCCACCCCAAAGCCCACTCCTTCACCCACCTGGGGGCGAGGGTCCCAACGTCCATCTGCGGCCAGCCGTTCCTGCTCCCAGTGGAGTCCTCTGCTGCTCCAGACCTCCTGAGCGCCCTCTCCTGGCCCCCCTTCGACACCCCTCCGGGGGCTGTCCGTGGCTGCGGCGAGACTGCACTGAGATGCCCGCTGCCCCGCCCCTGTGGCCAGCAGGTCCCCGCTCCCCTCCCGGCGTGGGAAGAGGCAGGGCCGTCCCCTGTGGACCCGGACACAGAGGTGGCCAGCACAGCCCAGCTTTCATGCCTTGAGAGGAAAACGCTGCTGTTCTAAGGTTTGTAACAATTTTTATTAAAACTGTACAATAACTTACAAATGAGTAAAAATTCTCTGGTGTGTACATATATATATATATACGTATCGTAGGAACCACAGTACAAAAATACGTGTAAAATGCGGTGGCGCTCGCCGGACGAACCCGCCCCAGCCCAGTGCGCGCCGCCCCGCGTGAAGCACACCCCACGTCCGGCACGTCGCCGCGTTGTCCTGGGAGCGCTGATACCGGCCGGCGTGCCGCCGCCAGAGAAAGTCCTGCTTCGTCTTTTGCATAAATTTACAATAAAGCTTTTAAAAAATGCGCAGTAAACAAATACGGGACTCGGTACACGTATCTTACAACGGGATTCCCTGAGCCTAGACGTGAGTCCGTCACCGTGTCAAAACACACAGCCCGCCCTCAGGCTCCGGTGACGGTGGCGGGGCGCTGGCCAGCGCAGGCTGACGTGACGGTGCCCCAAACCCAGTCCCACACCCCTGCTCCCCGATGCCGGGGCGGTGTGCGCCTGCGCCGGCCGTGTAAGGCACGCGGGTGGCCGGAAGGCTCGGGGTTCCGCACGGGCAGAGCACTTTCCGGAAGCGCCGGTCTCTCAGCAGCCAGGACCCTGGACCGCGGACACGGGGTGCACACCGGTCTGTGTCAGCAAGGGACACGGGGCTCTGCTCGGGGGCACGCACACAGTGTGACACGGAACAGCTGCAGATGTGCCGGCGGCCGGTGGCGCCGAGGGCGTTTGGGGCAGCCCCTCGGGGCCCCTCCTCCAGGTCCGCTGCCGCGCGAAGTGTCCCCACGCAGACCCCCTGCGGGAGGAGCCCGCAGGCCTGCAGCCACAGGTGCGCCCGAGGGCTTGGGGAGCGCTCCGCGTTCAAAGCTCCTGGATCCTTCAGGCGTTCCCTCGACAGGCAGGTGGCAGCGACAGACGGCCGCAGTTTGCTTTTCGGTCCAAAGCCCAGTCCTGAAATGCTGGGTTTTAGGATCAGGTGGACCCGGTGCCTCTGACACGTGGCCAAGAACCATGACGTCCAACCAGGACAAGGGACATCGCACCTCGGCCTGTGCTTCCAGGGTGGCGGCAGGGGTGCGGCCGGCCGGCGCTGGGAGCGTCCTTCAAACATCCACTGGGCCGTCTTCTGTTTCCCAAATACACACCCCTTTCACACACGCGCACACACACACACACACACACACGCACACACACCCCCCTTTACAAGCGTCGGAGTGCACTTCCACGCCCCTCTCTCCATGTCCAGTGCCCTTTCCGAGTGACGAGCTGTGGCTAGGGGTGTCCAGGGGGGTGGCTGGCGTGTGGAGTGCTCCGGACAGCATGTGGAGCCGGGACGACCCAAGGACACGGGGCGTGACTCTGGGTTTCGAGTCCGTGCCGTTAGGTCCTGCACGACGGCCGCCCGCACGACGGCCGCTCCCTGCAGGTGAGCACGTGCCCGGCCACCTGGGCCCCGCAGCCCTTACACCTCCGTCAGCTCGTCGCCCATGCCCCCGTGGGGCCTCTCACCCATGCATCACGACCACCACCGCCATTCCGCCCGAGCACAGCAGTGCCCAGGACGGCGCAGTCGGCGGGACGAGACACGGGAGAAGCCAACCCCCGCCCCCAACCCGCCCCTGCGCTGCTCTCGGCCGGCCGGAGGAGCCCCGCCCCGCCCAGGGCTTGTCCCTGTGAGTCAGCGCGGCCTCCTGGCGGCCAAGCAGCTCCAGCGGCCAGTGCAGCACCGCCCAGCGGGTCCGTGCAGGCCCCCGGGAGGGGCACGTCTGTCTGACCCTATGAACGTCTCTGGTCTCGGCCGAGGGACCCCAGCCTGCTCCAGCCACCCCTGCAGTCGCACCAGAGTGCAACCTCTCTTCCGACACAGATGCGAAGGGCCGCCCCCCCCCCCCCCCACCTCCAGACGGCACAGGCGGCGCCCACCAGCCCTCAGGGACGCGGAGCCTTCCCTCTCACGCGGGGCTGGAGGTCGGCCCCCACCGGGCTGCACGCTGGCCGCCCCGTGTGCTGGCTTCTACGGACGCCCCGGAGAGCTCCTCCCCATGCACAGTCCTCTGGTTGAGCATGTGTGTGCATACACACCACGCACACACGTGTGCACACGCACACACAGGCACCCCCCGCAACTTCTTCAGCTCCGAGAGCAGCGGCCTCAGACGGTCCCGCGGTGAGGCCCACAGAGGTGCTGACGTCACACGGCACCCGCATCCGCGGCCGAGTGCCGGGGGCCGCCCCTGGGCCGTGGCCCCGAGCCCTTGGCGGGGAGGGCACTCCTACTGAGACTGGCTTCGCCCGCACACAGTTTCCTCTGGAAGAGAGTGAAGACAGAAGCTTTACTTTGGCGTCAGACCCCCCCCCAGACCCTTGTGGGGCCCCACGCACGGCAGGGAGGCTCTGGAGGAGCACCGTGGGCCGCGTCCGCACCTCCGCCCCGCAGAGACCGACGGCCCCTCCCCGGAGGTCGTGCGGCCCCAGAGGGGCGGCTGGGAGCCCCGGGCATGACGCCGTGTGCACACATGGCCTCAGCCTTCCCCCAGCGCCTGGGGAAGCCGCCCACGTCTCCACCCCGAGTTCGTTTCTCCTCACCACGGAGGAAGCGGCTCTGGCAGCCAGGGGCAGCCAGGGAGGGCCTCCTAACAAGGAGGGTGGGCCTGGAGCTCACCGGGGGTGGAGCAGGGTGGGGCTCACGGGCGCACCCCCGGGGGTCACAGACATGGGACACCCCTCGGGTTTCTCATGCAGCAGAGGTGGGGCCCGTGCTGTGGGGTGCTGCGGTTTTGGCACCTTCCCCCAACTCCTGAGTCAGCGGCAGCGCCCCCAGGGGCGCCCCGCGGACAGACCACTGCCCCATGCTCTCCTGGTGAGGACGGCCGGCCGCCAGCAGCCAAACCTCCCTCCTCACCGAGGACGGCGGGGCCGCGGTGTCGTTTCTACACCGAGCTGCGCTGCGGGTGGGCGGTCAAGCGCAAGAACACGCTGAAAACCAACGCCCCGGACCGGCCCGTCCCACCGCACCAGGGCGGACGGAGGAGGGACGAGGGGTGGCCGGCGGCCTCGCCGGGGCCCCGAGACCACGTGTGACACGGGGTGTGCCGGGGGGGGGTCTGGGTGGTTGAGATCTTCATTCTCTGCCTCAAACGCCGTCCCTACTTCCTGTGCCCCCCCAATGACCCCCCAAAACGTGCCCCATCGGCCCCAGGACGACGGAGAAGGGGCCGGAACAGCCTCCCCGTGTAGCTGTCTGTCTGGGGAACTGCAGCCGAACATTTCCGAACCAAACAGGAGTAAATGGGAATGAGGAGGCCCCCGGGGTGAGGCGCCCCCCCCCGCCCCACCCACCCCCCACAGCGGGAGCGGCGCCCCAGCAAAGGACCCACATCCAGCAGACGGCCCCGGGCGAGCCCCACCAGACGGGGTGGGGCACCCCGCCCCTGGGCAGAGTGGGGTGAGGGCCCCAACCCCGAGGGCGGGAAGTGCCGTCCCCCCGGCCGTGTGGGCGGGGCCTCACCTGCCGGCCACCACGCGCCCGGCTCTCCTCGCCCTCCCAGGCGCACCCGCCCTTGAGTGTGAAGGGCGGAGTCCAGACAGGGTGGCTTCGGCCACGCTCGGCTCCCCTCGGCCTGCAGGCTCCGGGTGGACGTGATGGGCCCTCGGCGGGGCCTGGGCTGGGCAGCTGGGGCGCCTCCCGGGAGTCGGAGAAAGGTGGGCTCCCCTGCAGGGGCCGTCCCCGAGTCCTCCTGCCTCCCGTCCCCGTCCCCGTCCCCGTCCCCGCGCTGCCAGGCTCCCGGCTGCGGCGAAGGTGTACGGTGGCAGCCGCGCCCCCGGCCGCGCCCACGGTGGCAGCGTCACAGGCGGGGGGGGGGGGGGGTGTCGCTGTGGCGTGTCCATCAGGAGGGGCCGGGGACCCCGGTGAGCGGGTCATAGCATCGCCTTCACCTCCCGCGGTGGCCAGGGGGACCCTCCTTGCGGCGACGTCTGGGGACCCCTTCCGGTCCCCCTGAAGCAGGTCACCACGGGGGCCACGGCCTCCATGCTGCCACTTCCTGGGGCAGCAGCGTTTTCCTGAGGATCTTCCTCCAAGACCGTGCGGGCGACAGCCACCCCGGGAGCCAGGCAGGGTGGGCGTGCAGGCCCGGGGACGCGGCCCCTGCTCCCGCGCGGCAGGGCCCTCGCGTGTCCCTGGAACCGGGGTCGGGGGGCTGCGCCCCAAGGACGGACCCTGGCATCCAGCAGCCAAGACCAGGCCCCTTCCAGAGCAGCACAGTCCGGAGACGAGCCACCAGACCCGTCGAGGCGACAGCCGGCGGCTCCAGCCCAGCCCCTGCCTCCCCCCCGACCGGAGGGCCCGCACGGGCCAGGTCCTCCTGTGTCTTTGGGGATGACCCGGGCCGTCTCGCTTTGCTGCCCGGGCTGCCGCTGCCCTCCGGTCCAGCTGGAGGCGTGGGGTCCGGCTCCGCTGGGGGCTGGAAGGACAGAGACGAGAACCATGTGGTTTCGGGAGGAGGCGGGGTCGGCGTCCAGGAGGGGCCCCGGGTCTGAGAGCCAGCGCGGCCGGGAAGCTGGCCTCTCCGGCCGCACCTCCCGCTGCCCTGAGCTTGTGCCGGACGCCGCGGGGAGAGCGCACGGACCACGAGACTGTGCTCCGCCAGCGTCCGGGGACATTGAGGGCGCACAGCCCCCCACTGCGGTGGCGCCGGGTCCTGCCCTCCTCCCCCGGCAAGGAAGGCAAGCGCCGTGTGCCCCCCGACGGTGCCGGCCCCCCTGAGTCCCGGCCCCGGGGCGGCTGAGGGTCCTGCGCTGCTGCGCGGGGGCGGGGCGGACGCTCACCCTGGAACGGCAGCCGAGGGCGTACTCACCACGCCAGGGCACCCAGGCGAGCTACGACCAGAGAATGAAAGCTAAGGAGAAAAACAAGAACAAAAATAGAAACTGAAAAGGAAGGGGAGGGAGGAGACACGGAGGGAAGAGAGAGAAAAGAGAGTTTGTAGTGCTTCTGGCAGGAAAGAGGGTGGTCACAGACAGAACACAGCGAGAACGGGGGGGGGGAGGTCGCCGGGGCTCAGGGGCCACGCTGGGGGCTGGCATCCGGTGGCTTAAGGGCCGAGTGGACCCTGCGTCCGAGTGACGGTGCTGCCGCCACACAGAGGCCCTCCCGGGGACCCTGCCCGGGCTGGGAGCAGGGCTGGGGGACAGTCGGGGGCCAGCCCGTGGGTCCGCAGCTCGAGCAAGCCTCGGCCGGTGCCCTCGCCTCCCAGGGGCCCCGCATCCTCCTCTGCGCGGCGGACCGGCCGCGTGGACGGCCACCAGAGCCGACAGTGACCAGGGGTCGTGGGCTGACAACACTGAGGGCCCTGCACCCCTGGCAGCCCCACAGCAGGTGACAGAGTGCCAGCAACGTCCCCGGTACGCCTCGCACTCGGGGCGGCAGGCACGTGGGGCCAGGGGAAGGGCCCAGGGCAACTCGGACCCGAGAATGTCCGGCCTCGAACCCACCGCCTGGAAACCCAGAGCTACTTCGGCTGGATTAACAGAACAGAATGAAGATTCCAGTGTTTACTCCTGACAGACGCTCTTTAAGAAGCAAAGGGGCACAGCTGTCCCTCGGGGGGGGGGGGTCGCAGTCTCCCCCCTGTGCCCGCCCCCCCCGCCACACCGGGCGAGGCTGAAGCCCCCAGCCCAGTGTCCCCGCCCCGGCGTCCTGTGAACACTCGAAGAGTACACCCTCATCTGCCGGATGCCGGGCTGGGAGCTGCGCCCTGCACCGCCCCAGGGGCCAGTCTTGGGCACGGCGGGTTTGCCGTTGCCGTGACCACCGCTCAGTGGAAGCAGGGGCTGTTGGCAGGAGAGGTGGGCCGGGGGGAGGGGACCCTCAGTCCTGCGAGCACAGGGCCCTGCTGGCCCTCCGCCAGGACGCACGCTGCCCACGAGACCCCCCAGGCAGGGCTGACCACAAGATCCCATCACTCGTGGTCACCAGAGATCCCTGAACTGCCCCTGCATTTCGGGGGGAAACTGCCCTACACCAGGCGAACCCCCCAGGAAGAGTCAGGGTGCTCCCAGGCCTGCCCCGTGCGGTCTGGTCCGGGGAGCAGCAAGTCACACTGTGACCCGCGCGGACCGAGCGCCTGCAACCCGTGCCTCCCAGGCCGGGGCTCGGGAGAAGGGCTGGACAGCCCGCCCCGAGCCCCCAGCGGCGCGGCCCCCACCAACCGCCCACCAGCAGCGTTTCCTGACCCTGGAGGCAACTGGGCTGAGGACCAGGACTAGGAGTCCCATAGTGGACGGACGGCCCGTCCTTGGGGGACATCCGTGCTGCAGAAACGGGGTTTCCGTCCAGCGTGCTTCGGGAGCTTGGGAAAACCGAATGCTCCCTCGCCCTCCCAGGGATCCTGGGTCGCTGGTCTGGCTCCCGCCCCGCCCGCCGGCTACCACGGCAGAAACCGAAGCCTCCAGAGACGTGGAGCCCAAGGTCTCGTGGGCAGGCCGTGGCAGAAGGGGCGTCCCAGACCCCAGACCCGGGCTCCTGGCCCAGAGCTGCCACGCCCTGGGGCCCGACCTCGGACCCAGCCCGCAAGCGGCGACGCGCCTGTGACCGACGGGCTCTCCCCGGTCTGGGATGCTCGGCGGCAGAGCAGCCCGACAGCCGCGCTCACGGTACCTTCTCCTCCAGCTCCTTGATCTGTCTCTTCTGAGCTTCTATCCTCTCTTCCAGCTCTTTGATCCTCTGCAAGGTCAACGGGGGCGGGGGGGGGGGGCGGGGGAGTCTTCAGGAACCGAGCGCCCGCCCGGGGAAGAAGCCTCCCCAGACGTCTCGCGGGGGCTGAGTGCACACACGGCCGCGGGGCGGCCGCCGCGCAGCTCGTGGGCCCCAGGGGTCGTGCTGACCAGGGCCGGTCTGCAAATCTGGCCAGCGCCGAGAGGCCTGGAGCCTTGGCCTGTCCCCCGTGCAGCGTCTGGGACCAGGCGGGTCTGCTGGCCCTGACACCCCGGGACACAGCCGTCCCCTCGCGGCCGCGCTCCCCTCCCACCTCCGGCCGCGCTGGACCACCAGCCGTGAGCCCGACGCCCCGGGGACAGGGCGGGGGCGGGAGTCACGGACTGAAGCCCCCCAGGGGCGGGGCCCACCCGATGCCAGTCTGCCTGTGTCTGGGCCCTGGGGCGGCTGCGCTCTGACCGCAGCCTGCCTGGCGGGTGTGGGGACGCAGATGACAGCCCTCACACTGACCGCCCTGGATCTGGGGCTGAGGACACAGGCGGCTGGGAGCCCTCTGCTTGGACATCAGTCCCCGACAGCCACTGCGTCTGGGCGTCCCGAGCAGGGTCCACTTCCGTGGCCTCCCAGGCCACATGGGGACACACGGGGGAAGGGAGGGTGTCTTTCAGGTCAGGTCCTCTGGTGGGCCAGTGCCCCTAACACCCGCCCCGTCAGAAAGGGACCAGCTGGAGGGGACCAGCGGCTGCTCCCCAACCCAGGAGCTGCTGCTCGCCAGGTGGCACCCTCACCACACCCCTACCCGGCGGTCAGGGGTCCCAGGAGAGGGGACGTGCACTGAGAGCCCAGGACAGTGTGGCCTGGGAGGCTGGTCTGGAAGTGCAGACAGCCTAGCAAAAGGGTTCATCCAAGGGCGTGGCCATGGAAGGGTGTGGTCACTGGGGTGAGGCTACTAGATAGCCCGTTCCTGGTACCACCTCCTTGGCCTCCACCTGCACCTGCTATAGCAGCTGCAGTGGCTGCATGCACTCCCCTCCCTTCCCACCCCCCCCCCCCGCACCTGCTGTGTCAGCTGCAGCGGCTCCATGCGCTCCCATCCCCCCCACACCTGCTATAGCAGCTGCAGCAGCTCCATGCACTTCCCTCCCCTCCCTCCCTCCACCTGCACCTGCTGTGCCAGCTGCAGCGGCTGCATGCTCTCCCCTCCCCCCTCCCCGCACCTGCTATAGCAGCTGCAGCAGCTGCATGCGCTCCCATCCATCCTCTAACGGCCCCACCCCCGCACCTGCTGTGCCAGCTGCAGCAGCTCCATGCGCTCCCGCAGGATCTGGGCGTCCCGCTCGCGCAGCTCGCTCATGACCTGGCGCTTCCACTGCTCCACGGCCACCTTGAGCTTCTCCCGCTCGTCCTCCGACAGCAGCTCGGCCACCTTGGCCCCCGCCTCCTGCTGCAGCGCGTCGAACAGCATGGCCTCCAGCTCCAGGATGTGCTGGGCAGGAGGGCAGAGGTCAGCCTCTGCAGCTGGGGGCCGGGGGCCCCGTCCATCCCTCGGGGTCACTCCCCTTGCCCCCGCACTGGCCGCCTTGGCAGTCGAGCATGGACACCGGGTCCACCACACGACGCGCACCGTTGGGAAAGCGCAGTCAGCAGACACGCGACCTTGGGGGGCGCGGCCCGCGGGGTCCCCTCGGGAGACCAGCGGAGGGAAGGCCCCTCCCTTGGCTCTCGAGCCGCCAGACAGGCTCTGGGATCCCCAGGGGAAGGAGGCGGGCCGCGCTCCCGGGCGTGCATCCCGGACGGGAGGGCACGCGCCCGACGCCCCGCCGGTCCCCAGTCCAGGCCCGGCCTCTGTCGTCCTCCCTGCCACCTGTGGGCCGCGGACTGTGTCCCCACAAAGGTTCACTCAGGTCCCTCCCACGCCAGGTGAGGGGCGCCGCTGAGCGCCGCTCTGGACTGGGGAGCAGACCTGGGGCACACCCGTCCTCGAGGGGTCGCAGCATCCTCTTCGAGGAGGCAGGACTGGGCCTGGGGTCGCCCAGGCCCACCAGCTTGCCCCTCCGGCCACTGCGCCACCCAGCGGTCCGGAGCCCTGGGCCAGCTCTGCGCAGGGGCCTCTGCGGGTGGACGGCTTCCCCATGGACATGGAGAAGGCCGACTGTTAGGGGCCACGGTCATCACCTCCCCTGGATCTCAGGGGAGGGCCTGGAGCCCCAGAGCCCCCAGTAAAAGACCTGGAGGAGCAGAGAAGCTGGCCCGGCTGAGTGGCAGCCGGGCCCCAGGTCGGGGCTGATGCGTGAGGCCAAGGGCGGGGACAGGCTGAGCCGTGTGAGCTGGTGGCCCACGGAGGGGACACGGCGACAAGGAGAGACCGGAGTGGACGTGGGCCTCAGCCCTCGGCTGCTTCCCCCAAAACCCTGTCGTGACTGAGAAAGCGCCACAGGCCCACACAAACCGGTCCCCGCCGTACCTCAGTCCCCCAAATACGCGTCCTGTTACCAGTGCCCAAGGGTCGAGCCGTTTGCTCTGGGGGACCTTCAGAGGTTTTCCTCTGGAAAAGTGTCATGGGCACAACCTTCGAAAAAACCAAATTCTCAAACTACAGAAACCCATCTTCCCATCAAAAATGCAACACCTTCAGCCCTGGCCAGTGTGGTTCAGTGGACTGAGCATGGGCTGCGAGCCAAAGGGTCGCCAGTTCGATTCCCAGTCAGGGCACAGGCCTGGGTTGCGGGCCAGGGGGACACGAGAGGCAACCACACACTGATGTTTCTCTCCCTTCCCCTCTTTAAAAATAAATACAATCTTTAAAAAATTGTAACACCTTCAAAAATGAATGTTTACCTTTAGGCAAAATGATCACGAAAAGCCCTTTAGTCTGAGCTGACGTTTTAAGAAACAGGCAAAAACAAGTGCCCCACTTTGGCCCTCACTTCCACGGCACTGCTCCTGACAGCCACAGGAGGCGCCGTCCCCGGCTGCCACCGCAGCCTGCGCCCCGGGGACGGCCCCTTCTCAGGACGCAGGCGCACTGCATCTGGGAGACGCCGCACTCTGACACAGACGCCGCTGAGCGTGGGGCTTAGAGTCCGCGCCACGGGAACCTGGGGGGCGTCCACCGCCTCCCTGCGCGCACAAGCACGGGCCGGGGCCACCCGTGGGACGTCTCTCCTCCTCCCCTGTCAGCCCAGGCAGGGGAACCGACACCTCTGTGCACCCAGAGGGGCCGAGCTGCTGGCCTCAGGTCTCCCGGGGGCCGGACGCTCAGTCCCGGACCCCACGCCTGCTTCCCGCCAGACCTCGGGCCGCCCTGCCGGGGCCGGGCGACAGCGTTTCCTGAACCAGAACGCGGCAGGTGCTGACTGCACGGGGCGGGGGACAAAGGTGACCCCCAGAGCGGTGGACGGGGTGACTGCCTGCCGGAGGCGGGGTGGGCTTCACTCCTGCAGGAAGTCTGGGGGCTCCCCATGGGGGTGCTGCCGACCCCCCACTGCTCCCAGTCACGCTGCCCGTCTCAGCGACTCGCTCCCACCGTCCCTGGGACTCTGCTCCCGCGCCCGAGTTCTTGGGGCAGAGTGTCTGGTGACAGGCGGCCAGCGCAGCCGGGCAGGGGGCGCCGGAGGGACAGAGGCAGGCAGCGGCCCCGCGCGGGTCACACGGGCCCGGGCCCTCCCAGGGCGGGGGTCTGCGCCCGGCCCCGCTGGCATGGGACCCACTCTCCCCACTTCCAACCCCCCACTCCCGCAGGGGCGCCCCAGCCACGTGGCCCTCACCTTGTGGGCCTGGTCCAGCGCCTGCTTCCGGAAGTCCAGCTCCTCATCCAGGTAGCCCTTCTGCTTGCTGAACAGCTCCTGCAACACGAGAGGACCTGTGTCGCGGCCGCGGGGCCGGCCCACCGGGGCCAGGGGCGGGCTGCGCGCCGGGACGCCCACCGACCTTCTCGCTCTCCAGGTCGGCCATCTTCCGCTGCAGGGCCGCCTCCGCCTCCTCGATCTGCTGGAGCCACTGGAGGCAGCAGGGCAGGCGGCTGAGACCCGCGGGGGCCCTCGCGCCTCCCGCCCCATGGGGACGGCCTAGGGGGGGAGGGAGGCCCCTGTGTGCCCCCCAGGTCTCCCCCGAGAGGGAAGAGCTCCGCTCTCGCCAGGAGATGGGGGGCTGGCACGGTGGTCCCCACGATGTCCCCGTGACGAGGATGCAGGGCACGTCCAGGCCCCAGCCCACCCACCGCCGGCCTGCTCTCCAGTGAGGTGCCCTCAGCCCGTCCCCGGGGACAGGAGGGTCCTCAGTGGGGGGCAGCGGGAGCTGGTGCCCGTGAGCTCGTCCAGGAGGTGCAGGAGGGGTTCTCCCCATCCGGGACCCTGCGCCTCCCACTCGCCGGACACCCCTTCCTGGAGGCCCCTGGGTGGGTGCGCTGGCAGCCAGCGGGGGCTGCACTGGGCCGGCTGGGACTGGGAGCTGGGGTGCGGGGAGCCCGGGCAGGCTGGGCGGCCCCCAGAGGAGGGTCAGACAGAACGCTGACCGTTTCGGAGGCCCACCGCGCCCCCCGGCCTTTGGGGGGAAACCAGGGCAGAGTGGGCTCCCTCTGTCACGTGCAGACACGCGGGGCGGGCGCGTTTCACCCCGTGTGTGCCAGACCTCCAGGGCCGACAGGGTCAGCGCCCCCCGCACCCGCCTCCCTCCTCCCAGGGGGAGCGTGTTCTCTGAGCCAAGTCCGGAGGGTGAGACCCCGGGGAGCACGGCCCCCCCAGGAGCATCGGGTCCCGTTACCTTCTCAGCCAAGGTCAAGACGGTCCTGGCTTGGATGACGACCACTTGCTCTTCGTTCGTCAGGTTCTGCGTCCGAAAGCAGAACACGCACAGAGTCAGGGGCCCCCTGGGGCAGCTGGGGTGAATGAGGGGTGCGTGGAGGGGCGGAATGGGGGTGCATGGAGGGGGAATGGGGGTGCACGGTGTGGAGGGGGCTGACTGGGCAGGTGCAGGATGGGGGGCCGGGGCCGCAGCCGAGAGTGCTTCGCTAGAACAGGCCCCCAGGCTCTTTGCTGCCCTCCTCTCCTGACCCTGGTCACGCGGGGTGCCTCCTGTGTGTCCCCGCGTGTGCCCTCGCCGCAGCACCCACGGCGGTCGGAGCGGGCGCCCCCGAGGGAGGGCGGGACCGGCGGGCCGCGCACCAGGCAGGCGAGTGAGTGGCAACGGGCCCCTGCCCGTGGCCTCGCCGGGTTCCGCGTCCGCCCCGCGCGGAGCGCAGAGCACGGAGCCTGAGCCACGGAAACGTCATGCGCAAACGGGGAGCGGAGGCCAAGCGTGCCCGGCGCCGCAACGGTCCCCGCCCCCGGGTCCCCGCCCCTTTTCTGCGCGTTCTAGCCACGTCTCGTCCCAGGGAGCCCGCCCGGGGGGCCCCTCCAGGCGGGGTGAGCTGGCTCTGGGGCCAGTCAGCATCCTCGGGGGACGCGGGCACGAGATGCAGGGGCCGCTCAGACCCCGGCTGCCCCCTCTGTCAGTGCCGGGGCAGGGGCTGGGCATCCGAGGTCCCGCTGCCCGGGGGGGGGTGCCCTGAGGGTGGGGGTCTCTTGCCACCCAATACCCACGCGGTCTGCACAGGGTGGGGGCCGGTGACCAACTGCTGTAGGCAAAGAGGCAACTCTGTCCACGGGGGGATGTGCGCTGCACCCCAACTCGGGCGTGGTGCTGGGAGCAGGGCCAGGAGCCCCAAATTCCTCCTCGCTCGGGGGGCCAGCCTGGCTGTGTGAACACCTGGGTTCGGGGGGTGTAGTCCCCTCCGCCCCCCCCGGCTGTGGGCTGTGCACTCCTCTGACTAGGGCCTTACTCGGCCTCGAGAGGGTGGCGGGGACGGACAGCTGCAAACCTTGTGTGTGTCGGTGACCGTGGGGAGACGTCCTGGGTGTGGGCGGGGCTGCCGCCCAGCACAGCCCACCCCCTCGCTGGGCAGGGGATGCAACAGGTGCCGGGGGACGGGTGGGGGCTGGGCGGGAGGTGGGAGGTGGATGGACAGTGGACGGTGGACGGAAGATAGCTTCACGGACAGAGGGTGGAGGGCGGCACGAGGGCTACAGCCCCTCTGTCCCCTCGGTGATTGGGACCCCTTCCGGGAGTCCGCTGACGAAACTGGAAACCCCCCCTCCCCGAGACGGGAGGGCTGTTCAGGGCCCTGCCGCCCTCTCACACACAGGCGGTGGGACTCCCCAGCCTGCAGCACCCAAGCCTCCCCACAGAGCTGCGGCCCCTCCCAGCAAGGGCCCGGAAGAGCTACAGGTGGACCTCAGGAACTGAGACCACGTGGACAGAGCGTCTCTGCTGGGGGACTGGGCGTGGGCCCCCACTCCAGCCGAGCGCAGGCCCCGAACCCCCCCACTTCCGGGCGCTGGTCGCCACCCACACGGGCCCAGGAGCGACGCGAGAAGGAACAGAACTTCTCCCGAAGGCCAGTCGCGCACGGGCAGCAGCTCTGGCCACAGGGAGGGGCGGCCGGCAGCAGGGCCGCCTGGGACTCACGGGGCCCGGAGCACAAGGGGCTGGGGCCTCGGGGCGGTCGGCGTGAGGGGCATGCACGAGTCAGGAGAGCAACATACACTTACGGCGTTGTCCCCCAAGATGTCCAGCTTCTTCATCAGCTCTGAGACCAGGATGTCCTGGAGGCAAAGACACGGGGGACGCACAGGAGGTGAGCACCAGCCGGGCGGGGGCGGGAGGGGGCAGGGGCGGGGCACCGCTGGGGCGGGGGTTACCGTCACGCCTTCGGCCTCGCAGTACGCTTGCAGGGGGCTCTTGCCGTCCTCGAAGGGGGTGTGGTGGAAGTTGATGGCGGGCGACTTCCTCTCCCTCTCCTAGACAGAGGGCGAGGTTGGGCCCGGCCCTCCTGTGCGGCCCCTCCATGGGGGCTGGGCTAGGGGCGGGCCAGGGGACACGTGGACGCCACCCCCAGACACGGTCGTCACGGCCTGTGCGTAAACGAGGCCCCGGCCGCGGCGCTGGCTGAACCCCCGAGGGACCAGTCCGAGAAGGCGGCCCCTCTGCACTTGCCCCCGGGGGCGGGGCTCCAGGCTCCCACAGGACTCAGGACCCTCGCTCACCCACCGGGGCCCCCAAGGGCCCCCACGGGCCTGTTCCCCACTGTTCCCTGCAGGCCTGAGGACAGCATGACCCCGGGACAGTGGCAGGTGTGGCCACGTCCTCAAACAGGACACAGGCAGGAGCCCTGGAGGCCGAGGGGGCACACACAGGGGGTCACGCACAGGGGGCGGTGGTAGACCCTTCCTGCCACCTCAGGGAGGTGGACGGGGGACCCCAGGGGCAGCTCCGTCTGGACTCAATCTGCTTCCTTGGCGGGCAAGTGGGGACCCGGCCCCCACCTCAGGGGTGCAGGGACGTCAGGAAACCAGACGGTGGGAGCGGGGCCCAGAGAGACGCAGAGAAGACAGGCAGCAGTGTCACACGGGAGGGGTCATCCTGCCAGTGGGGTCATGACCTCCTGGCCGCCAGGGGTCCCGAAGGCGGCCAGGACCCAAAGGGAGGCCGTGAACCTTACGCGGGCGGCCAGCAAGGTGGACACCAGCCCGAGCCACTGCCTCCCCTCCTCAGAGGTGGCCCGCGTGTCCCAGCCACCCTCGCAGAGAGGAGTGGCTGGTGGCAGGTGAGCGCAGCCACCAGGGCGGCCCTGACCCCCCTCTTCCCCCTGACGGAGGCCAAGGTCCCCGCGGAGGGTGAGGGCCAGACCGCGGCGTCCGGCCCCCCGCACAGCACCGTGGACGCAGAGATGCACCCCCCACCCCGGCCAGGCCTCCTGGGGTCGTGCGTCAGCAGGGCAGGGCCCAGGCCGGCTCAGCCGTCGTCCCCCGGGCTCCCAGGGCAGCCACGCTCAGTGCCCTGCCCGCCCTCGCCCGCCCTCGAGCACCTCCAGCTCCAGGATCCGGAACTCCAGCAGCTCGTTCTGGTCCTTCGCGTCCTGGACCTCGTGCTTCAGCCGCGCCTCCTGCGTCTCCATCTGCTTGATCTGGAAGATGAGAGGTGGGGGGACGCCGGAGGTCACGTGAGGTCAACTCCCCGGTTCTCTCTGTGGGGACAGGGGCCTGGCTGAGCCCTGCCCCTTGGCTGATTTGGGGGAGCGGGGGGCTTCAGGCCCAGGTGCATGGGCGGGGGGAGAGGGGTCCGCCCAGGAGAGAGGAAGCAAGGCGTGCCTTTGACCCCTGCCTCGCCCTGGCTGGGGCCGCACTCCGGGACCCCAGGCCGGTCCGGGGCTGGAGGGTACTGTCAGCGGGGTCCCGTGCTCTGGCTGCCAGGCCGCCCTCCAGAACCGCCTCCACCGATTAAGGGACAGTCTGCACTTCCAGTTTAACCAGCGGACCTGCCCTGAGGCCACACCTCCCCCAGGGCGCTCACGGCGCAGCCTCCGGCACGTCCGCAGGGGTCTCCCGAGGACCTGAAAACGCAGTGGGGGGGGCCCCGCCCCCGACTGAACCCGCGGGGCTGAGGGGCTGTCCCGAGCATCGGGGACGGGTCTGAAGGACACAGCAGCATCTGGCTGACACGTGGCCCACGGCCTGCAGGCCCTGTGCCGTGAGCCCCTCCTCCAGCGGCCCCAGGAGGCCGGGGCAGCACAGCAGGCCTGTGGGTGGGGCCGCCATGACCCACACCCCTCCGTGAGCCCAGGGCACCGGCGCTTCCCCCGGGAGCCGCCCGACGCTCGGGCGGGCCGGGCGCACCTTTTCCACGAGCTCTTGGTTCCTCCGATACAGGGCTTGCTTCTCTTCGATCCACTTCATGTCCTTGCGGACGGGCGGGAAGGGAGAGGTGAGCACACGGCGGGGTCAGACCGCACATCCCACACTCAGATCACGGTCTTGCAGGACGGAGGGTTGGACAGAGGGCCTCGACACCTGGCTTCCGGACAACCCCTGTTCCCGGGCCCCCTGGGCGGAGGGCAGGGGGGCGGCCCCACGCTGGTCCGACCCCACACAGGCCCCCCGGGGACACGCCCACCTGCCCCTGCTCCGCCAGTGCCCTCTCCAGGTCCTCGATCTGTGCCTGCGCCCTCTGCACGTCAGCTTGGAGCTGCTCGCGGGTCTGTGGGCGGGAGGGGGAAACATCAAATGTTCCCTAAGAGCCAGGACACGCCCACGTGACCGGGGACTCCGAGGACAGTGCGTCCGCGGAGAACGGGCAGTCGGCAGCTTTGCGAGGATGCCCCGAGGGAAGGACGGGCCCCGGGGCTGAGCAGAAGCGAGCTGGATGGTGGCAGGGCCTGCACTCCGTCCCGAGGGGCTGCCGGGGACCCTCCTTTCGGACTGGAACAGCCGACCGGGCCTGGCCCTGCTGGGGTCCAGCTGGGGCTCGCAAAGCAGCCCCCCGACAGTGCCCGCCCTTCCACCCTGGCTCCTTCTGCCAGCCCTGCGCTCCCCACTTTGCTGAGCCTGCCCCTTGTTTGGGGAACCAGCCCCCTAAGCGCCTCCTGGGCCTCCAGGGCCTGGCCCCCTCCTGCGAGTTTGCGCCCTCTGGGGTCTAAACCACAGGGCACTGCACCCTGATGGGCCCTCCTGCCCCCCACCCCCACCCCAGAACAGCTTCCGGGGCAAACGGATGAGGGCCTGTGGGACCAGCAGGGCACAGGGCCTGGACACCCCCTCCCAGGGGGTGCCCGACTCCGCCTCCCCCGGCACACTCCTGTCCCCCCTCTAAGGGCGGCAGGGAGGGAGGGAGGGGAAGTGTTTGGGGAGAGCCCAGGGGCGGAAAAAGGATGCTTGTCAGTCCTCGCCCCCATCTGCAGGTTGGAGGGGAGCGGCGGTCTAAGCCCAGGTCCTGGTCCAGGGACCACCAGCGGAAGGGCCGTCCCCGGCCCTGTACCCCCCCCACCAGGTGTCCCTGGTTGGTGCAGTAGGTGGGGGCGGGGGGACTTCCAACAAAGGGCCTGCACGGGAATGTCCCTTCGGACGCTTCACTCCCCGGGCAAAGACCTCGAGGCTGTGCTGCCCGCCCGAGTGCCTGTGGCCCGAGCAAAGGCTTCTCCAGGGCCCAACAAGACACACAGACAAGGCTCTCCGCCCCCGCCCCCCCCGCCCCAAACAGTGCGGGAGGAAACACTCCGAGTCCCTGCCACGAGAAAGCGTCCTGTCCGCGGTCACCTCTCCCTTCAGGCCAGGGGAGGGCGGCCCCGCCCGGGCAGGGGCGCAGCCGGAGGCGTGCTCTGTCGGGTCCCACAACAGGTGCCCCCGGAACTCCAGAAAGCCCGGGGGAGGAAACAAGCTACGCCACAGGGCACGACCGCCAGGGGAAGGGGTGAGGCCCGGGGCCCCGGGGGCAGCTCCAGAGGGGGCCGCACCCCCGCTGCCCCAGAGGGCCAGCTCCACCCAGCCCGCCACCGAGGCCCAGGATGACGGGCAGATGGCCTCCCCGCCCCTTCCCACAATGGGGTTGGGGGCAGAGCTGCACCCCCACCCTGGGCCCCAGGGCTGCAAGCTCGGGAGAGCCCTTCCCTCCACGGGGACGCGGCCTGTCCCCCTGCCCCGCCACCGCTGTTCCTGCAGCTGCCCCGTTGGAGCCCAGGCAGCCCCCAGACAGGCAGGTGGGTGGGAGGAGACTTCGGGTAGGGCCCTCCCAGGGGGCCCTGGCAGCCAGCAGGGGCACCGTCAGCCCTGTGTTCCGACCTTTCCCAGGAGAGACACAGCTGTGGGCACCCCCGCCTCCTGAATCTAGGACACGGGGCTGCCCAGCGAGGCAGGGAGCCAGGTGGGCCCAGCTTCTGAGCTCGGCAGGTGCCGGGGGAATGGCCAATCTCGGCAAACGGCACCACCTGAGCCCGAAAGCCGGCCCTGCACCGGCTCCGTGCCGCCGGGTCTGCAGCCAAGGCGACTTCACCTTCAAGGCGCTGCAGGCCCCGCGGCCCCCTCGGCGGCCCCCTCGGCGGCCGGGAGCCGGACAACGAGCTCTCTGGAGGCTCACTGGCACACCTGCTCCGGCAGGTTCCGGCAGGTTCCGCCAGGGCCCGGCCCGGCCGACGGCTTCCCCGCCGCTGGCGCTCAGCCGAGGGGCGGGTGTCACTGGGCCACACCAGCTACCGGGGTCGCGCGGGGTGGGGGCAGCGGAGTGGAAGTCAGTTAGACCTTAACTTCTCGCTCGGCGTCCAGCGTCCCTCCGACCTGCTCCTGCAGCAGGGCGTACGCACGCTGCAGGGCCTGGTACTCCATGGTCAGCTGCCGGAACCGCAGCTCCGTCTCCTCCTTGGCCATGCCCTGCAGGGGCACACAGAGCCCGCGTTGGCGCCGGCCTCCGCCCGCGGCCCGGTTCTGGCCGGACCCCTGCCTCCCCCTCCCTCCAGAGCAGGCTCGCAGCGGCTCCGCCCCGCCCACCGGAGGCAGGGAGGAGAGGGAGGCTGCGGCTGTCGGACAGATGGCCAAATCCCTCCCACCTGCCCCACAGCCCGGGCCCCTCCTGCACTGGGACCCCCAACACCTCCTCCCGGCTGCAGGGACACCTGCTGCCCTAGAGGGGGAGGGGGCTGCCGCCACCGCCGCTCTGAGGCCCTACTGGGCCCTGAAGAGTTAGTTCGCTGCCCAGAAGACAAGCCAGGGTCACACGGGCTGGCGACGTCCAGAGCCACGGGGCCCGGGAGCCCTCGCCCCGCTGGCGGCAGGTTGCTGCCACGTCTGAGGTGGCTCAGCAGCTCCGTGGCCTTGGGGACCATGTGGCGCGTGCCCCTGGCGGTGGCGACAACCCCGGGCCAGGGGGGCCGGGCCTCCCCCACAGGCAGCCCCTCTCCCCCGTGCAGGGGGCACTGGACGGGGCGAGGCAGACCGGGCGTGCGCCTGAAGGGGTGGTGGGAGGGCGGCGGCCGCAGAGCACGTTTGTCACGGCGCGGAACCACGGACTGTGGGGGACGCAGCCACCTCTGCGGGGAGCTGCCCCCGGCCCCGCCTGCCCCGTCACCTCCTCCAGGTCATCTTCGGGGGTGCACGGGGTCTGGTCCGTCCTGTCCGTCTGGCAGGACACGGAAGAGCCGTCGGACTCCAGGGAAGCCTCTTCGTCGTACCCGAAGAAGGTCTCCACCACGACCGGCTTTGGGGGAGGGTGTGTGTTAGTGCCAGCAGCCCCCGGGGGCCTCCGGGCCGCCCCCACCGGCCCCCCCCCCCCCGCTGCCCAGCCGTGAGCCATGCCCCTGCGCACTTGGCCCCATCTGGGCCCCCAGCCTCGCGGCAAGGTGGGCGCCGTGTGGCGCGGCCCGTGGGGCAGTGAGCTGGGAGAGAGAGCGCGAGGGAGGGGCCGGGTCTGCGGCAAGGCCGTCCGCCATTGCTGTGGGGCCCACTCGGGGCGGTGGGCACCAGCTCTGCGAGTCCCACGGCAGCGGCACTCGGATGCCACCATGCAGGAGACATGCCGTGGGACTCACGGTGGGTGAGCGCCAGCCCCGTACTTGGCAAGGGGCCACTTGTGCAGCCACTCATCTTTGTTGTGTTTTCAAAGTATCGTCCGAGGCAAATCAGGGTAAAGCAAAACCACAAGCAACAGCTGGTCCTCCCCCAGCACACGCGAGGGCCCGGCCTGAGGGATGCCCCCGCCCCAACTCCTCTGTGACATCAGTGACCCGGGCTCTCCCCACCCCCACCCCTGAGTTGCAGCTCACCGACGGCCCACTGCCCACGGAGGCTGGAGCGCGTGGCGGCCAGCTCACCACCCAACGCCCTGTCCTCGGCCGGGAGCCTGCCCCCCTCGCTGAGGGCTCCGGTCTCACCAGGGCGCCCGGAGAGCAGGCCCAGGCGGGGAGGGCCGGCCTCCTCCTCCCGCCCGCCCACGCTGCCAGTGCCTGCTGCTGGTGCCCAAGGACCCTGAGATGACCCCACACCCTCCGTGCCACCTGTGGGCCTTTCTAAGGCCCAGACGAGCGTGTGACACACCCCGGGGACCGCTCAAGACCAAACAAAAACACGCTTTGCAAAAACCAGGACAGGAGTCTCTGCTGTTTTAGAGACTCTTCCCAGCTCACCTCCGAGGGAAACCACGGGTTTATCAAAAAGGACTGGGCAGCAGAGAGAGCCCCAGGTCCTCCACGGAGGGGCTGCGGCCCGCAGGCGGCCGTCCCCAGGGCCACGGGGCCTGGCCGGGCAGCTGGGAGGCCAGAGCCTATGGCTGAGCCCGCCCCTCCTCACCAGTGTCCCGAGTTCCTGCCTTCTTGTGGGAAATCAAGAGCAGGGAGGCCCCCCTGACAGGTGTGGCTGGGCGGCTTGGGCGTCACCCCACAAACCAGAGGTCAGGGTTGGACTTTCGGTCAGGGCACAGGCCTGGGTGCGGGTTTGGTCCCCGGGTGCGGCGCCTGCGAGAGCCAACTCCTGGCCATTTCTCCCCTCCCTCTCTCCACCCCTTCCCCCTCTCCAAAAATAAGTAAGTAAATAAAGTCTCTAAAAACAACACTTTAGAAGAAATCAGGCTGGGTCCTCTGATTCAGAACCGGGAGCAGAGTGTGCACCTCGCCCCCCTGGGCGGCCCCCCGGCCCCGCCCACCTTGGGGAGCTTGGCCATCTTCTTCCTCTGCTTCCGAAGCCTCAGCAGCTTGTCCCGCTCCTGCAGAAACCCGTTGAGGGGACGGTTTTGAGTAATTGAGCAGCTCCGTCCACCTCAAATGCGCAGGTGGACGTCCTCTGTGGCCACTGAGAGGACAGTGGCTACTCTGACCGGCGGACTGCCCCGCCATCCTGGCACCTGAGCTCCGCCGCCCGCCCGTTTTGGGTGGCCCGTCACACTCAGCGGGGCGCACCGGCCCCGGGGCGGTGGTTGGCCGGGGGGCCGCACAAGGGGTCCAGGGACGTGCGCGGCAGGCACGGAAACGGGCCTCGAGCGGACAGATGGGCCGGCTCCCTGCGTGCTCTGGGCAGACGTGTGCTCACACACCGGTGGATGTGGCCCCGTGAACGTGTGTGGGGACCTGGGACCTGCTTCCCTCCGGGGAGCTGGGCTGCCTTCCTGTGACCGTGACGGAAGCAGCCAGGCCCAGACTGCGGTCCACGCCGGCTGGGACACCCGTGGTGGGGGAAGGGCCCCAGGAGGGGCGCCCCCAGACCGATGCTTGATTAAACAACTCGGACACGGCCGGGCGCTGCCACTGGCTGCTGGGGCACATGCGACCCACTGACCGGCGGGCGTCCTCAGTCACCACAGCAGAGCCTTGGGGCAGGTGCCACTGCGGCCACCAAATCCACCCAGGTGCTGGCCCGGCCACTTCTGTCTGACCCGGGAGGAGCCGTGGGCGCGGGGGGTGATGGGGACAAGGGCCGGCGGGGCCAGTGGTACTTACTAACACGCTCTTCACGTAGCCGGCCGTCTCCAGGGTCTAGGAAGAGAGGACAGCGGTCCGGAGAATCGGGGTGTGACCTGTCCCAGGGCCCTGGAGCCCTGCACCCACCCCGACCTCTGCCACGTCCCAACCACTGAGTCATGTGGCTCCGCCCCCTGCCCCCCTGGGGAGGGCGGTCCCCTCGTCCTTCCTGCCGTCCTCCGCTGATGCCCAGGGCCCTGGAAGGAGGGATGTGCTGGCCATTCAGAGCTGGGGGGCGGGGCGTTTCCGTGGGTGTTTTCCTCTCCCGCTCCCACCCTGTGGGACGGGACCATTGCTGCCGCATCACGGAGCGAGACGAGAGCCCTGATCTCAGGTGTGGGATGCGGGGGGCTCCCTGGGGGAGGTCCCAACGCCCAGCCCGTCGGGGCAGGGGCACCTCTCTGCCCCATCTCCTGTCACTTGGGAGGAGACGCCAGCCATCAGAACAGCACTTCCAGCCGTGTGCCACACCAGCCCCAGAGGAGGACACCGCTGTCCCCGCTGCTGCCCGAGGGCACAGAACAACGGAGGCAGCGAGGCCTGGCCGTGCCATTGCTGGGGTCCCAAAAAACAGCGGAATGTGCCGGAACCAGGGTGATTGGACAGGGGTCTGATAAGGCACAGCCAGAAAGCTGGGCTGGGGCATCGGGGTCTTTGCATTGGCAGGCGGATTAAGTTCGGGGTTCCGGGACGAGGCCATCCTGGACCAGGGCGGGTGCTTGCCCTGGGGTCAGAGAGAGGACCCCACGAAGACAGACAGGGACAGCAGTGACATGGCCCAGGGCCCCCGGAAACTTCTATGAATCAGGGGCACAGCCCTGTCAGCACCTCGGTGTGGGGGTTCTAGCCTCAGAACCGGGGGGAACGTGTCACTACTGTTTTCAGCCCCTGGCTGTGGCCACAGGAGCCCGACCCTGTCACTGGTGGGGGTGTGGCTCCCGAGACCCCCGGTCCAGAGCGACCAGGAGGGGAAGCTCTGAGCTCCTGGCAGGGCCACCTCCGGTGCAGGGTCGCATGCGGCCCGAGATGCACCCAGGGAGGGGCCAGGAAGACAAACAACCCCACCTCCCGGGGGGCCCCTTGGCCGCAGACCCCGGGGCCGGGGCTCAGGGTGGGTGTGGCCTCTGGGGGCAGAAGGGCACAGGGAGGGGAGCAGACCTAGACCCGGGTGACGCCCGCCGGCCGGCCCCAGTCACCTTGGAAAGCTCGTCTATGAGGTTCTGCTGCTCCACAATCTGCAGCTTCAGGAAGTCGACTTCTCTTTCCTCCTGGCTGTGATCCAGGTCGTTCAAGGAGCTGGGTCTCCTGATGATGCCGGCTCTCTGTCTCTGGAAACCAGCCAGGCCGTCACCGGAGAGGCCCGGGGCCGTCCTTGCGGGTGGTGGGGAGCCAGGGCCTTCCCGCCGGGCTGCAGAGCCCGGGGAAACCGAGGCTGCTTCTGGGCCGGTCCCCGCGGCAGGGGACCCTGGGGCTGCCCACGCCAGGTCCTGCCCCACCGCCGTTCCCAAGTCAGGGTGTGACAGCCAGGGCGGTCTGCAGGGCGGGGAGTGGGGGGCACGTCTGCCTCCCCCACACTGCGCGCTCTCACTCATGGCCCCCGGCGCCCTCAGGACCAGAAGGGACACACGAGATACCAGCTACTCATCCCCCACTCCGCCTGGTGGCGGCGGCCGGAGGGGAGCCCCCCCCCCCCAGGATCCCTAGTCCATGCCCGGAGCAGGGCCTGTGCCAGGGCCCCCACCACCGCGATCCCACCAGAGCCGGGTGGTGGCCTGGCACTGGGGGTGCGACTGCTCAGTCTCTCCCTGCAGGGGGGCCCCGCCCTCCAAGGGCCGCAGGCACCGGGTCGAACCTCGCAGGTGAGAAGCGGGAGAGGTGGTTCGGGAAACGCGCGCGCGAGCGCCCTCTGCTGGCGGGCGGACACGTCGGGGGGGTGCCCTACCATTTCTATGTTCTCCTGCGTGAGGAACTTCAACTTGTTTTCCATGCGCCGCAGAGCGTGGGACAGACTCTCATTCTTCCGGGAGAGACGTTTGCTCTTCTCCAGCAGTGGCTTGTACTGACTCTCCGCTTCCCGGAGACGCTTGAGCTGGAAGACAAAAGCCACGGTGAGCTCGGTGCTCCTAGCTGGGACCGAGGACCGGCAGGTCCCCGTGCGGGGTCCACACACTGAGCGGAACCAGCGGGGCGACTGCGGAGGGCCGCCGTCGGGCCCAGGAAGGCCTGCGGTGCCAGGTCCCCGCGGGACGCCCGGAGGACGAGCGGCTCAGAAACCTCAGTGGCCGCCAGACTGACGGCGCTGGCGCCCCCGCAGGGCCGGGTGCGCACGCCCGTCAGTACAGAGAAGAACGTGATGAGAAGAACGGGGTGGCGCCACCCAATCACAGGAGCAGGGACCCACCCACCAGCCCCTGGGGCCCGGAAGTGGCCAGCACCGCGTTTGTTAATAAAGTTTTATTGGCACCGGACCGGAGGCCTAGACTCAAGCCCTGCCCTGCTCACCAGCGGGCCTTCCCACGGGGAATTCCGGAAGTGGGTGCCCGGCGCCCCACGCCCCGCACCGCAGCCAAGCCCCTGGCACCCAGGGGACCCAGCCCGCCGCCGGCCGCGCTCACCAGCTCGTTCCTCTCCTCGGACAGCAGGGCGTTCCGGTCCTCCAGCTTCCGGATGATGGCGCTGAGCTCCGCGATTTTAAGTTGGAAGCGCCGAGCGTCCTTCTCGTCCAACTGCTGCTCCTGAAACAGAGGCCAACTGCAAAATAACTGCTCGTAGACCCAGAACCCTCGGCAAAGCCCGACCCGCGCGGGCCCAGAGCGCGTCTGCGTCACGAGGCCCGAGCCTGGGGGGCGGGGCGGGGGGGTCCCTCCGAGGGGCTGGAGCGCGGCTGCTCAGCAAACGGCGAGATGGCATGACACGCAGAAGCAGACATGACGGGAAGATGCGAGTGTGGAGGGCGAGGGCATGCACGTGCAGGCTCCCTGACCGCGGCGCGCCCCGAAAGCGTCAGAACCGGCCCCAGATGATCCTGGGCCAGGGCTGGCTGCACTTCGGGGAGGGTCCGCGGGGCCCGCAGGCTGGAATTCACTTCCCCGGTATTAAGTGAGCTCGGAGAACGACATTGGACCTAAGGCTCCCAAAAGCTAGTGTCCCAGGACTATGCATCTGAAAGGCCATTGTGGTACCACCGAGACTTCAGGAAGAACCAGCGAAACCACTGGGTCCTGTCTGAGCGGCTCAGGGGTCCGCGCAATGGAGCAGGCAAGGTGCCGGGGCAGGTGCTCATTCGGTTCAGGCACGCAGAAGAGGGCTACCGGGTGTCACCCTCTATCCTGGAAGTGTCCCTGTCCTAGGGCTGGTTCGGCTCGCACACGCGTGTCCCGAACGACAGAGGGGTGGTTCCTCATTCAGCAGGTGCAGGAGAGGCTAGGGGCCTGCCTGGCGGACCACGTGGGGCATCTGCGGAATTCAGACCACCCCCTCTCCCTCGGCCTTCCCAGGCCCCGAAGGAGGAGCAGTGATGCGGAGATGGTTGGTGTCGGGGCCGGCTGCTGCCAGCCCTGTGCCGTGCCGGCGGGCCCGGGGTGAGCAGGAGACTGTCATGGTCACATGGAAAGCAGGTGGGAGGGTGATGGGTGACGCAGATGGCGGAAATCGCTGCATGGGGGTCAAATCCAGGATGGGGGGCAGGGAGCCGGCCTTGCCGCCAGAAGGCAGGGCCCGGGCATGGCAAGGGAAGCCGCGCAGCCGCAGCCAGCACCAGGGGCCCTCAGCAACCTTCGGACCCCACGGCTCGGGTGAGGCCTCGCGGAGGCCGGGCTGTGCACTACGTTGGCAGGGAAGGAAGGAGGACGAGGTCTATCTGTGCTCTTGGCCGGGCAGGGAAGCCGAGGGGCCCAGGGCCTGGCCCTCGGGCTGCAGACCTGGGCTTGGCCCCCCAGCCTCGCAGGGACGCGCAGCGGTGGGCACGGGGGGGCGGGTCCCTGCACTCTCGGTCAGCGGGAGTCGGGGAGGGAGGTGCTTACAGGGCTTCCCGAGTGGTCTGAGGCGTCTCCTGCACCGCTTGCATAAGGAAGTTCCCGTCTGGGGCTGCCCGGGTGCCGCTCGGCCTCTTTGACCTGGGACAGCTGCTCATCTAAAGCCTCCTTTTGGAGCTGCAGCCTCTGAGCATGCCCGGCTTGCACCCCTAACTCTCTCTCCAGCACGAAGACTGCTCTGTCCTTAAACTTTATCTCCTCCATCTACAAGGAGAACAGAACACAATCACACACGCAGGCAGGGTGCAGATATGTTACCATAGCAACAGGCAGACGGCACAAGCATCAGGAGGGGCCCCCACCCCGAGTGCGCGCCACGAGCCCTCCCACTCGCCCTGAATGGCAGCGATCCTGCGTTCCACCTCCTAACAGCTGCGAGGAGCCACCTGCCTCCCAGCCCCTCCTGCGGGCGGGCAGCCGCAGGTGCATCCTGGCCAAAGGCGAGCGGCCTGGGGGGCGCGGGGCAGAGCCAAGTGCGCCACCGCCTACACGTCAGATGGGCAGGCGTGGCCCATGGGCATCGCTGCATATGGTGCTGGGTTGGCAAGAAGACGGTTTGAAACCTATTTTCAAACAACGGCGCAGGGCAGGCGATCTCGCTGCTTTGCCGTGGTGTGAGGTTACAATTGGCCAATAAATCAGCCATCTGCTGGAGTCAGCTTGGGAACAAAGATGCGACGTCTAATTAGCCCGGATCTCGGAATTTACGGGCAAGCGGCGAGCTGCAGAGAATAAAGGAAATCCGCAGTTGCTGAGTCCCTGTGTGCTGGGACGCACGGCAAGGCAAGGGCAACACAGTCAGCGAGTGGAAACACGCCAGGGCCGGTGGGCAGAGGGTCGGGCTGCCGCTGCCGCTGCCGCTGCCGCTGCCGCTGCCGCTGCCGCACGGGTGCTTCGGAGACGCCCCTCTCCTCTCGTCAGGAGACAGGAGCCGGTCTGTGCGCGCACGGCCCACCGGGTCCGCCGAGTAAGAGGGCCGTCAGGACCGGAGGCCGACCTCCCACAGGGGTCGCCCCATGTGGTGACCCACAGAGGAGAGGGCAGGGTTTGATTTTTTAGTGACGGGAACCTCACTTTAGGGTCAGTGACTGTGTCTCCCAGGGGGTGGTCCTGCAGCCCCGGGTGTCGCACGTGCAGCGTCACCACCGGGATTTCTCAGTCAACAGCGCGTCCCCACACCTTCCACTCCCCTTACAGCCACCTGCCCCTCACCCACATTCTGGGAAATGTGCCGTCGGCAGTTTCGTCATTGTGCGAACGAGCAGAGGCACTGACACAGAGTCAGGTGGCCTAGCCTGCTGCTCCGCTCACCTGGGCTGCGTGGTGCCTCCTCCCGCTCACCTGGGCTACGTGGTGTCCCCTCCCGCTCACCTGGGCTACGTGGTGTCCCCTCCCGCTCACCTGGGCTACGTGGTGTCCCCTCCCGCTCACCTGGGCTACGTGGTGTCCCCTCCCGCTCACCTGGGCTACGTGGTGTCCCCTCCCGCTCACCTGGGCTACGTGGTGTCTCCTCCCGCTCACCTGGGCCACAGGGTCTGCTGCCCCGGGGCCGAGAGCCTGCACATCTGTCACTGCCCTGAGCCCCGAGGCGGCTGTCACGTGATGACAGCAGCTGTGGCTCGCGGCACAGGAGGACGTAGAACAGGGACGGGGCGCCAGGGCGTGAGAGATGAACACGGTGCCCGCGTGCAGGGCGCTGGGCAGGGACGCAGCCCAGAGGGAGGGCGAGGCTGCCCGGGTGAGGCGGGCGGGGCATGACGCGAGGCCAGGACGCAGCTGGAGACTGTGACACGGCTCCCCCAGGTGTCACTCTGTCTACAGAAGTCACTTTTCTTTCTCTTGCAATCAGTTAACCTTGCCTTACTGTAACTTTTCCACTTTATACTCTTTTTGTTTACTTTTCAATTCTTTCATGATACAGCATCACTTAAAACGTAGTACAGCTCTACAAAGAATGCTTCTTCTTTATACCATTATACTATAGTTTTTCTAATTTTCAAGTTTAAGTTTTAAAAATTATTTTGGTTGAAAACTAAGACACAAACACACCCGTCAGCTGAGGCCTACCCAGGGTCTGAAGCCGGCCTGCCCCCTACCCTGTCCCCCACCCTGCCCCCGGGAGGGTCTGCGGGGGCAGCCAGGCCGGGCACATCTCCTGGGTGTGGGGGGTTCCACTCCTGAGAATCGCGCCCGCGGTGGTGGGTTCTCTCTTCATCGCGGGCGTGCTCGGGGCAGACGGTGCGCCGCGAGCCGCCCTCCGGGCCCGAGAAGCCCTTCTGGGGCGGGTCCGAGCCCGCCGACCTCCGCAGGAGCCCCGTGAGCCGGCAGAAGCCCCCGCCGGAGCCTTCGCCGAGGGTTTGCTGGGGGGCGGGGGTGCTGTCCGTTCTCCGCTCGTGCGGTTCCTCCCGCTCTGGCCTCTCCTGCAGCTCTGCCTCCCGTTCCCGGGGCCCACGGCTGCGCGTCAACCTGCCCTCGGGCCCCAGCGCCCCGGTGCACCCTGGGGGAAGGCTGTTCGCTGTCTCCGCTGCGGCCTTGATCTTTGCAGCCGCCTCGCCCCCGCAATCCTCGGGCGTCCCAATGAGCCTCTTAATCGCCTTCTTCCAGATGCCACCCGTGCACTCCTGGGGGACAGACGTCACGCCCAGCTCCGTCCAGGTTCCTGATGCAGCCACTGGTGCTGTGGTCCTTCCAGAACCGCACGGGCGTCTTCCGCGGCGGCGGCGGCGGCGGCGGCCTGGGCAGAGTTCCTCCTCAGGGAGGGGCCGTGGGCGGGATCCAAGGGCTGGTGTTTGCCAGGAGAAGCGCCTGAGAGTGACCTGGGTCACCAACGACGGAAGGAGGCGCAGGAGCCCTTCCGACCGCAGTGGACTCCGGCAGCGCCGCTCCAGACGGCCCTTCCGCTGGCGCGGCAGCTCGGGAGGACGAGTCGGAGGAGGGCGGGCCCCTCCGGGACTTGGCGTCCTCCCGCGGGAGGGACACCGCCGCCCAGCGCGCGCCTCTCCCTGGGCCGCCCCGGCACACGGGTGGCAGCTGGTGGCTGGGGACACGCCCCACGCAGGGCTGCCGTCTGTCCCGAGAGGCCTGGATGCACGGCCTCCGTGTGGCCCCTGTGGGCGAGCGGCACCCGGGCCCAAACCCGGAGGCCTCGCCCACGTCGAATGTTTGCCCTGGAAAGTGGTTTTACTCCCCCACAGCCAGCGTGTCCGGGGTCCCCGAAGCCGCTTCAGCGGCCTCCGCACCGGCACCCACGCACGGCTCGCCGCTCTCGGCCCGGCTGCGGAGGGAGTGCGGTCCTCGACCTGTTCCCACCGCCCGGACCCGGCGACAGTGAACTCAGCACCGCGGTCGGGCCCAGCCTTGTCTCTCAACCCCTCAAACAAGCCTTTTGCTTTGGTCTCGGTGACCGTGGTGACCGTGGTGCCCAGAGCGAACACACTTCTGAGCCTGGTCTTCTGTCCTGGCCACTCGGGGGCTCTCCGTGGTGGACACGGGCCCACCTCGAATCTCTGCTCTCCCGGCGGCTTCAGTGGAGCTCCGCCCCTTTGTTCTTGTCCTTCAGGACGTGGCTGTGGTGGGAGGGGACACGCCTCACTGCCGAGCAACAACCGTCACCGAGCCCGGCGGCTGCGGCTCAGTGGGCTGAGCACTGGCCCGCGAACCAAGAGGTCGCCAGTTCGGTTCCCTGTCAGGGCGCATGCCTGGGTTTTGGGCCAGGTCCCCAGGTGGTGGCCTGTGAAAGGGACGTTTCTCTCCCTCCCTTCCCCCCTCTCTGAAATAAGTAAATAAAAGATTCTTAAAAAAAAAGAAAGAACCACCACCGATTGTCCATCCTCCTACCCTGAATCACTTCCGTTTTCCTTCCAGGAGCCCTACTCCCCGACCCTCGCCCCCACCCCCCACGGCCCTCACTGCCGTAACCTCCCCCTGCCCCACGCCTCACACCCCACTCCCAGGGACAGCGGTGTATGGGAGGGAGGGTCCCTGGTGGGGAAATGTGGAGGGTGCTGGGCCGGGAGGACCCCCTGAGGGAGGGGAGAAGGTGCCCCACACCCTGACTGCCCCCCAGCACAGTGCGCTCAGCCTGGGGCCACAGAACCATAGCCTCTGGGTGGCGCCTGGGGACCTGCGTTTACCAGCATCCCCCCGCCCCGAGTCACAGAGCCCGGGGACAGGAGGGGCCCACTGCCCCACAGTGCCAAGCCCCCAACGCCCGACAGCACCACATGCACACTGTCCCCACCCAGAGCCGTGGCAGCTCCCACCTGGGGACCCGGAGCCTGCTCCCAGGCACTCCCTGGGGGCGGGGCCCCACCCCGGCGCCTCCACTTTGCACCGTGCAGGCGAGTGCACCCCTGCTCCGCTGACAAACACGCTAAACAAGACGGGGCGGGTGGTGGCTGGAATTTGCCATCAGCGATTTTCAGAAAAAACAGAAGACTTGCCCACAACCCCCCCCGCCCCCCCCCACCACGTGATAACGCTGCTTCCCTACTCTAACTGCTGCCCAGACTCGGCCAGGCTCCGCCCCAGTGAGGACCGCAGGCGCCCTGCCTGCCGTGCACCTGAGGCAGGTGCCCGTGAGCACGGAAGCAGGCCGGCCACGCCCCCACCTGCCAGCAGCAGCCTGCTGGTGGGGCTTGATGACTCCTGTTGGCTCCAACTCCACTGTAACCAGCTGTCGCCTCGGCAACGGGCTGAGGCGGGGTGATATACATCACAGATTATTACGAGAAAGCGGAAATTGGCTTTGCCTGCACTTCCTCAATTTTATGGAACTTTAAGAACAGTCTGAGCTCTATCGCCGCGAATGCACTGAGGGTGCAGCAACCGCCCCCGAGCCCGCCGCAGTCCCGACCTCAGAGCCGCCAGCAGCGGGGGAGGGGCACCCGGCGGAGCTCACAGGGACCTCAGAGCCAGGTGGGCGGCGGAGCAGGCCCACCCCTCCCCTTCCCCTCGGACGAAGATGAAGACTGGCCACACGGGGACGTAAGGACAACACGGGGAACCGTCAACAGCGTTGTGATCACTGCGTGCGCCCCCGCTGGGCACTAGGACTCCCCGGGGACCCCTTCGTTACGGTGCTCTAACCGCTTTGATGTGCGCCGGGAAGCAGGAAGAAATAACACTGAGTGTCAGCTGCAACTGGGAAAAAATTGGCCAGAAATGGCCCTGGGGGACCTGGCTTCTCCGGGGTCGATTCCGGGCAAGGCGGGGAAGGAGCATCGAAAGGACAAGTGGGGGGGGGGCAAACTGATGGTGGTGGGCTCTTCCGCCTGCAGGGACAAGTGTGGGAGACAAGGAATCGGAAGATTTCTGTCTCCCTTTCTGGGAGTGCTTGAGGGCTGTCTGACCTCAGCGTGCGTGCACCTTCACCTCTGACCTTCGTCTCTGATCCAGACTCTGCAGAGACAGACCTGGAGGGGGCTGTCAGGAAGGAGAAGTTCCTGCCCACGGGCGGACGGACAGACGGCCCTGCCGACACAGCTGGTCTCTTCAGACCAAACCCTGGTTCGCACCGGCTGCACCCTGGCCTGGCTCCCTCGCTAACCGGTGCGTTCAGGGGGACTTCTGGCTTGTGTTCGTCGTGTATTCGTGTGAGAACTGTGACTCTCCCCTCATTAAAATGTGTCCTCCCGCAGTTTAGTTACAATTCCAACAGAAGTTCCTCCACTTTCCTAGCAGGAGGGATGACTCTGAGGTTGCACGGAAGTTAAAGGGGCAAGAAGGGTCCAGTCCCCCCTGAAGAGCCAAGTGGGAGGCCACGCCTCCGGAAATCAGGACTTCTTACAAAAAAGCGAGAACAGTCCGTACAAATGAGCTCAAAGAGGGACCACGGTGGAACACACCAGGAAGCCTGCTCCTGTAAGAATGCCGACGTGGCCCTGGCTGGTGTGGCTCAGTGGATCGGGTATGGGCCTGTGAACCAAAAGGTCGCTGGTTCAATTCCCGGTCAGGGCACACACCTGGGTTGTGGGCCAGGTCCCCAGTAGGGGGCGTCCAAGAGGCAACCACACATTGACGTTTCTCTCCCTCTCTCTCCTTCCCTTCCCCGCTCTCTGAAAATAAATGAAATCTTAAAAAAGAAAAAGTGAATGCTTTGTGGCTCCAGGATAAAAGAATCCCCTAGACAAGACACAGTAAGCATCAAGCCATGGAAGAAGATCAACAAATCAGACCCCCCGGGAATGTGAGGTGTCAGCTCACAAAGCCACACCGCTCAGGACTCAGAACGGGAGCCCCGCTGGGGGCGGGGAGTCTCTGGCCTGCAGGAGGCCTGCTGGGGCTGGGGCAGGCGCAGGCCTGGTGGGGTCCTCGCAGCCACCTGGGCGGCTGTGCGGGGGCACAAGGCTGAGCTTCCTTCCGACCGTGAACGCGGGCGTCTGTCTAATGTTCTGCTCGTCTTCAGTTTCTCGGCCACGTTGGTCGTTTTCAGAGTTCAGGTCTCGCATGTCTTTTGCTAAACTTATTCCTAAATGTGTTATTCTTTTTTTGCGCCATGAGTGGGTTTTTAAACATATTTAATTTGAATTATTTGTTGCTGCTGCATAAAAACACAGTTGACTTTGCACACCGGTCTTGTGTCCTGAACCCCGCTGAGCTCACTGAAATAGTTCCTGGGGGCAACTCCGTGGGGTCTCTATGGGCAAAGTCCAGTCGCCTTCAAAGAAACACAGTTGCAATCCTCCCTCCCAACCTGGCGCCTTTACTTTCTTTCTTTTGCCTTAGGGCCCTCACTCCAATTCCTCAGTGGGAAAAGACAAAAAAGATAATAGGGGAAAAGGCCCCAACAAAAAAGCAGAATTTCTTCATTTTGTTTTAAGAGTTTATTTATTTATTTTTAGAGAGAGGGGGAAGGGAGGGAGCAAGAGAGGAAGAGAAACCTCGATGTGTGGTTGCCTCTCATGCGCCCCCTACTGGGGACCGGGCCGGCAACCCGACCAACTGCCACCCTGTGGTCCACAGGCCCACACTCAACCCACTGAGTCACACCGGCCAGGGCGAAAGCATTCCTTCCGGTCCACCTAAAGCACTGCCCCTCTGACCACTCCCACTGGGGTGCCGGGACGGCAGGGGAGACCCGCTCACGGAAGGAAGCCCCGAGGACGAGACGCAGCCGTCAGAAAGGGAGACGCGGAGAACTCCGAGGTGCAGGGACGTGGCAGGGACAGCGAGAGACTTCTCAAAGAGCCCACTCATCCTCCCCCTCAGAGGCACGGGACGGGGTCGTGTCTATGGGCAAGAGAGGGACGGCCGGACCATCGTTTCAGAAAACAGACGTTTTTGGGAACTGCCCGCACGATGGCAGAAACGGAGGAAATCGAACGGAAGAGTCAGGAGAGAAAGTTGAGCACATTCCCAGAAGGGAGAAGGCAAAGCCCAGGTCGGCGAGAGAAGAAAACCTGAGGTTCCGAGTCGAAGGCCCGGCACCGGACCGAGGGGGGTTCCAGAAGGACGAGGCGGAAGGAACTGATGAGAGAAACAGCAGGAGAGAGTCTCCCAGAGCCCCGGGGTGTGAGTTCCCCTGGAAAGTGCCCCCGGCCCCTGCAGGTTGGGGGGACAAACACTCGGGGCGACCACGACGACGAGGGGGCTGTCCTAGCTAGGATGTCCCTGCTCTCCAGAGACGGGGAGGGGACGGGGCCCCTCGGAGGGAGGGCGGGGCCAGAAGGCTGTCCCGCTCCTCGCCAGGAGCCCGGGAAGCCCGAGGACAAGCAGGACACCCCCCAGCCCGGGGCGGGGGGGAGACTTCCCCTGTAACTCCACAGCCGGCTACACGGGAGGAGAACAAGAACGTCCCCTCTGCTCCGGGGAGATGGTGCAGAGTGCGTCCCTCCAGAGGCAGAAGGAGACAGTAAAAGAGGGAACTGGAAGGGGGGGTTTCACACCTGGGAGGGGGCGGGTCACCAGGGAGCCGCGGGTTCGGGGAGAAAGTCCCGCCGAGGCAGGAGAGAATGCTCCAGAAAGGAGGTCTCCGGACAAGGTGCACGGACAGAACCCTAAGGCTTTCGACCAGCGAGAGACTTACCTTTCTGCTGGACATTCCAGGGTGAACTGGCGATAGGCACTTAGCCAACTCAGCAGATGAAAAAGTTAACCCCAGGGAAAACAGAAGTGAGGACAGGAAAGGTAACGGGGTCTCAGGACACTGTGGGTCTTGGATGGACAATGTTTCCATAGTAATAAGAATGCATGTATCTATTTATTTAGCCTAAGATGAGTTCCAAGCGCCCTGTGAGCCCCTCCCCACCCTCCATCCTGGGCCAAGCCCGCCCCCCACTGCCTCCGGGTGGGTGTGGCCAACAGGATCACAGAAGCCAAGGTGGGGGCCCTGGTGGGGCAGCTGCATGGGTTGCAGCATCGTCCCTACAAGGTTGCCGGATCCGCCCCCAGTCGGGGCTCATACAAGAACCGACCAATGAATGCACAACTAAGTGTAACAATGAGTCAATGTCTCTCCCTGCCTCAAATCAATACATTTAAAAAAATCTAATTCTGTGGGATTCAAAATAAACATAACTGTCTAGAAAAAAGGAAACCAAGGCGGGAGGAGCGGCGCTGCGGCTGGGCTGAGGCCCTCGTCTGTGACACCTTCCCGGGGGCCTGCGGCCCGGCTGCCACCACCCCATCGGTCTCCCGCGACGCTGCCCGCACCTTTGCAAACGGCCCCTCACGGAAGTCCCCTCCGTCCCCTGTTCCTGCCGACACCGGGACAAGGTGAGTCACGGGAGTGGAGAGAGCACGGGAGGGGCTGAGACTGAGGAGCCAGGAAGTGGGAGTTTAAGCATGTTTTCGAGAATTTGGAACAAATACCCGAAGAACCAGCTAGAAGAGCTGCCCGCGGCTGCCTCGGGGGTCCGCGCCGGGGGTGAGGGGACCAGGGACCTGCCGGCTCCGCATCGGCCTCCGGTCAGGGAGGTGAGGGCGCCTGCCTCCGATGAACACAGTGGGGCAGCGTGACAGGGAGTCGTGGGGGGAGCTGGGCTGGGGACACCCTGGCAGAGGGGAGGCGGGGAGCCTTTGGGTGCCCGTGCACACACCACGGCAGAGTCCTGTTTGCCTCGGCGTCGCCCTGGGCCCTGGGGCCGGAGGACGGCAGCCCCCTTGGGAAGTCTGAGGTGAAGGCACAGTGTGGGGGTGTCTTTGGAGACCAGAGCCCAGGGAAGGAGGGGCAGGTGGCCAGGGTGCAGGGCCGTGCTGGGCCCCATGGAGGGGCATCGGGCCCCGGGGGTCATCCCACAGGTGCTGATGACTCACACGGGGGACTCAGGGCCTGCCAGGGGCCACGGGCTCCCCCCGGGGTGCACAGGGGGCCGCGCCTGCCCTGCCAGCTGGCCATCCGTGCTGTCCAGCCTCAGAGCGGGCACGGGGCACAGGGTCGGCAGGACGGTCTGGGGCCACGGCCACCACCCAGGGCCCTACAGCCGCACCTCTCTGGGTCCAGCGAGCTGGGCAGGCTGCAGAGCCCGCCCGTGACGGGTGAAGTGACTCGTGCCACCGAGACACCAGCCCTGCCTGGCTTGCGGCCCAGCCTGGGTCCCTAAGAAGGGCCGGATCTCAGAACCGCCGTGGGGACAGGGTGGGGGGGGCTGACTTGCGGACTTCCTGCTCTGGCCCAAACTAGACACCGGAGGTAAAGCTGGCTGGAGAAAGGGGCGGGGGGCGGAGGGCGGAGCTGCCTGACGGCTGTTCCTACTGACAGTACCCTCGCGTCCTCCTGTCCCGGAGACCCCCGGACCACCAGCGAAGCGGCGAGGGCCTGAGCGGAGGAGCGGCCCACCTCAACGCCACGCCCCCCCCAACCCCCGCCGCAGGCCCACGTACCAGCCTGCGGATGTCGCGCTCACACTCCTTCTTGATGCGGGAGATCTCCTCCTGGTGCAGGTGGTACACGCTCCGGATCTCGGCGGCCTTGATCTTGTCGGCCTGCATGACCACGGTCAGCGCCTCCTCCGCCTGCCGCTTGGCGCCCTTGAGCTCCGAGATCTCCTGCTGCATCTTCACCTTCTCCACCTCGAACCCCCTCCGGGCCTCCTCCTTGGCCTCGGACAGCAGCGCGGCCTTGGCCTTGTCGGGGCCGCTGTCGTGCAGGGCGTGCAGCAGCGCCTGCAGCCGCTGGTTCTCGTTGTCCTTGATCTTGATGACGCGCAGCAGCTCGGCCTCGTGCTGCCGCAGCAGCGTCTCGCGCACGGCCTGCAGCTCCTTCATCTTCTCCTCGTGCAGCTTGCTCTTGAGCTCCGTGAGCAGCACGGCGCTCTTGTGCTGCTCGTGCTCGCGCGCCTGCTTCAGCTCCTGGTTCTTCTCGCGCTCCACCCGGCTGACCTGCGGGGCCAGAGGGAGGCGGGGTTACTGACGTCACCACGTCAGTTGCGTCTGCGAGCTGGGGCGCCACCGCCACCGCCGCGGCCGTTCGCGGTTCGAGACTCACTCCTTCAAGTGCGAGCGAAAGGGGAGGAGCCTCGTGGGCGGAGCCTGTCTCCACGCCCACGGGCATCCCAGGGGGCACTGGGCTGAGGGTCAGCTCTAGACACCGGGTCCCCGGAATCTGCTCTGCTGCTCCGCAGGGACAGGCCGGCTGAGGGCGAAGCCGGCGCCCCCCAAAGGAACCCGTGCGGAGCAGCGGGACCCCTGCCTTTGCCCAGATAACGGGCCTCACGCTCGCCTGCTGTGCCGTCCTTGGCAAGCGGGGACACCTCACCAGCAGCTGCACCGTCTGTCTACACGACGCCTGATATCTAGACTTCGGAAACACTCAGACTTTTCCTGAGCGTTTTATTTTCGTCTGACCGTGCGACCTTGGCTAAGAGACCCCTGCACACCCCCCACTGGGCACAAAGCTGGGGCTCAGGATCCATATGGGGTGAAGGATGGTGGGGACCCAGGTCGGCCTGGGCTGACGGGGGCCAGACGACGGGAGAAGCCCGCCGACGGAGCCACAGACCCCACGGCCTGTCTCCAGGCACGTGGAGGGGGGCCCCTGCTTCCTGCCGGGACCCTGGGGGGCAGCCGCCTGACACTCAGTTGTCCAAACAGACACTCCCCACCCCCCGTCCACAGCTCCAGGACGGCAGCCCCACCTGAGGCCCCAGAGCGCAGCTCGCCCCCTCCCGAGGGACGACGTGCCCTCCCCTTCACAAAAACCTCCTGGGTGGGCATCGGCAGGGAAGAGGAGATGCCGTGCATGGTGGGGGGGGTTGCAGCGGGGAGGGGGGGTGTGGGAGGAGAGACACCGCCCAAGGGTCAAGGGTACAGGGGCCGAGTCCCGGCTGAGACGGAGGCCGCTCCCCAGCGGGAGGCCACGCCGCCGCCTCGCCGCCACCCGGCAGCCCCGTGCCCGCGATGTCATTGTCGCAGGAGAGGCCTCTGCCCGAGTCTGTGTCAGATCCGCAGGACAGGCCTGTTGGGGACGCCAGCGCTGACACCCGGCACCTCCCGCCCCGCCCGTCCCCAGGCCCCCAGGCCGCCCCGTGGGCTCCTGACACAGAGCAGTGCTGACGGGGGCTCCCCAGTGCCCGGAGCAGCCGCTCGGCCACCCGTCACACCTGGCCCGGGGCTGGCTGACCTATTTGGGTTCTAGGCCAATCCGGACACCCCCGGGGGAGGGGCATTGCTCCAGGGATGCGTCCACTGGAGGAGGCCCCAGGCTGTCCCCACGGGGCAGTGGCCTGTGTCCCCACTGGTACCTGTGGGCGGGGCCCGGTGGTGCCCCTCCCCTAGAGCTGTCTGTCCTTTCCAGCGGCTCCGAGAGGCCCTGTGGGGCCGGGACTGACTGGGTGGGCACTTCCGCAGAGACCTGGCCGCCCCGCCTCCCACTGTGGACGGGCCAGGTGCGGGAAGGTGGGGGGTGGGGGGGGGGTGGGGGGGGTGGGGGGACCCACCTTGCTCTTCTCCTGCTGTAGCTCGATCTGGATGTCGGTGAGCTTGGCCCGCAGCTCCTCGTTGGCGGCCTGCAGCGCGGCGAGGGCCTCGGCCCTGTCCCCCTTGCTCCGGCTGCCCACGCCCTTCTTGGACATGGTGAGGGTGGCCCAAGGGGCACCAGGGGTGGCCGCTTGTGTGGGCTGGGCTGTCCACGCCAAGCTGCGGCAGGTGTCGGCTCGCTGCCGCTCTGCTACATTTTCTCATTCACCTGGAGGGAGAGCACACCTGGGTGAGCAGCTGGCCTCCGGCCTAGGGCCAGGGGCCAGCAGGGACAGACAGGGGCCAGGCTGGCCGCTCACCTGCCCTGAGGACACTGGCCAGACCACAGGCTGGTCCCAGAGGCCAGTGGCCCTCTCTCCACACCCAACAGGGGTCCACACTCAGGAGCACCTCCTCTGCTCCTGCGGAGTGACAGGCTGGGACCCCAACTTAAGGTGCGAGTTTCATTCACGGGACTGTGGCTGCCTGGTGGCCATGACGGCCACCTGAGAAAAACCTCTGGGAAGTGACGTTTTACCACCTGCCCGTAGCAAGGAGCAGGGCCCGGGGCGCTCTGGTGGCTGGTAGTGTGTGTGCTCCATCGGAGGTGGTGGGAGGGCTTGCTCCCCCGTGAGAATTGCGCTCGTTCATCGTGTATGGGGGGGGGGGGGCTGGGTGAAGTTCAGGGACCAAAGGGGCTGGGGGGGCGTCCTCGGACCAGGGCCGGGGCGGGGGCTCCGGCTGCAGCCCTGAGGGGGCTGGCCGGTCAGAGCAGGCGGAGGGGACCGCTGGGCCCCGACCCAGAGCTGTGACTCCCGGGGTGCCTCTTCGGAAACCGGGGGACCTGCTTAGCACGGCATCTGAGGGCACCGGCCACGGGCGACCCTTCCCCCGTGGGGGGGGCATGGAAAGGCCGCCCGTCCGCCCGCCGGTCGGTGTTGGTCTGCACGCCAGCTGTGGGCTCCGAGCACTCCGTCCTGAGAACCGGCTCGCACTCGGACACGAGGGTCAGCGCACGGCCCCGAGAGACCAGCTGCTTCCCGGGCCTCCGGCCACGCAGCTGTAACGTGGCCGCTGGGGGACTTGGATCCTGGGTGTGCAGACGTGTCTTAAAACTCCCAAAACTCAGCAGTAAAAAGACAAACAACTCAGTTTTTAAAAATAAGCAAAAGATTTGGGAGCATGTACCAAAGCAGGTGCCCAGACAGCAAATAACGCCACCTGTCCTCGGGACGACACAGACCGAACCCACGGGGACACCACGGCCCACCGGGCGGGACGGGGAGTGAGAGGCGGGCCACGCCGAGCGCTGGCCCCCACGCAGGTGCGGATGGGGGAGTGGACCCCCACGCATGGCCGCCGGGGGCGGGAAACGGCCCGGCCGTCCTGGGAAACCCGGTGCATGTCTCAGAAAGTCCCACACCCGCCGTGTGGCCCAGGCGCGGCCTCGGCCCGGGAAACGGAAGCACCTTCGTGCGCAGACCTGGGCCTGGGCGCTCACAGCAGCTTCGTTCGCGACCCCCACGGTGAGGAACGGCGGCCGCCCCAAACCCCGTCCACCGGCGCGGGGTGAGCGAGCCGGGAACGCCTGCACCACGCACGAAACAGAGGGCAACGACCAACACACTGCGTGTCGGCGTAGAAGCACACAGTAGGGCTGCAGTGACGGGCAGTTCTCGAGAGCACAGGCTCGTCTGCCGGGAGGGGCGTCACTCTGCCCCCGGGATGGGACTGGGTGGGCAGGGGGGAGCGGCAGGCAGCACCTCGGAAGAGAAAGGGAGGGAACGGAGACGCAGCACTGGGTCGGTCCGCTCTCGTGCACTCGGGGCGGGCTCTCGGGCGTGTACGTGGGCCGAACCTCGTCATACTTCAGCATTAAAAACAGGACTTCCGAAGCCATGGGTGACCCACGAGATTGGCCGACCAGTGCGGCTCCCTCGGGGAGCGGTGTGAGAGCAGGCGTTCAGAGACCGTCCAGGTGCCCTGACTTGTAACCGGGACTTCCGACCCTGGGACGCCCGCTTTCTTGGCGGGTCCCACGGCCTCTCAGTCAGCAAAACCTCCTGCTCGTCCCCCGTGGTGCCCTCTCCACAGCCCCCTCGTCTCCGAGCAACCGGGGAAACCGAGGCACGAGGTGACGACAGCCGCCTCTCTCAGAAACAAGTGCTGGGAATCAGTGAAGAAGCTGTCACCTTCCCTGAAACACTGGAGCTCGCCGAGTCCAGAGTGGGGTCCACGGACAAACTGGGGTTCCGGATTGAGAGCACCCCCCAGGGTCGGGGGGCCACGAGGGCGGCTGGGTCCCTACGTAGGCCTGCACCTGAAGGAGGCCCAAGGCCCAGCAGTCCCACCCTCCTTCTCTGCACCCGGAGCCGGGGGCCTGGGGCGGGGCGCCCACCCCACCCGGCGCGGAGCACAGACACGGCTGAGCACCCACCCCCACCCCCACCCCCAGGGCGGCCAGACCGCGCTCCGTCAGAGAAAGACTGAGTTTGGGATGAGAAACATGTCATAGGAGCCAGGCGGCCCCCTCCCACGCAGGGCCCAGGCTGCGGAGGCCCCCAGCATCATCCCGGGAGGCGCCTGCGCCGTGGAGAACACGTCCGCCCTGCTGACCCCGGCCCACGTGAACATGTTCTGAACATGGACCTGAGTCTGGCTGGAGCCACCGTGCAGGCAGCCCTCAGCCCCCCGCAAGGAGCTGGGCCCTGCGCGGTCGCACCGTCACGCTGGCACCCCCCCCTCCCCGACAGCTGGTGCTCTCCTCACCCGTCTGCGCGGCGACCGGGTGACCCGCGGCTCCTCCGAGCTCCGAGCAGCTTGTGGGCGGGCGGGCGGCCCAGGGCTCTGTGACTCAGCAGAGTGAGCCTGCACTTCACAGCTGGAAGTCGCTGGGCTGTGACTGCGCCCGGGGCGGGCGGGCGGCCGTGGCGCTGAGCGGGGGCTGGAGGCAGGGTCGCAGACCGCTCCCCGGGCATGAAACCCCCGCCCAGACCAGGGCCGCGGGAGCGCCCGGCTCCTGTCCGCTGGGGGGCCGCGTGGACGGCCGTGGGGTGGGGAGTGAGGCGTCCGCCCGGCTCTGCCCCCAGGAATGGCAGCGCCCTGCGTGGGGTCCTGAAGGCCTCCCGCCGTGTGCCTGGCGGCAGAACCGCGCACCGGGGGCCAGGACCAGCCGTGCTGGGCAGCCGGCCCCGCGCCTGCCTGGTGTCCCGCCACTCCGGGCCCCTGGGGGTCCTGTCCTCCTCAGAGCGTCCCCCCGGGGTTCGTGCAGCTACGAGGCCCGTGTTGTGAACAAACTCCTGCTCCACTGCAGACGCCCAGGTGACGGAGGGACGGGCCGTTTCCCTCCAAAGGGGGGACACGCACAGACGCACCAGACCCGGGGGGTGAGACAGGCGCCGGCCCGCAGACCCCGAAGGGCACAGGGCGACCTCGTCAGCTCCTGGGGGGGATGCAGGCCCTGGGGGGGCTCCAGTGGGTCCTGCTGGGGTGGGGGGCGTGCGTGTCCAGCTGGTCTGAGATCGTCGGGGAACCCAGACCAGTGGGTTTGGTCCGGGAGCCACAGCAGCTGGGCCCCCACGTGGGGAGCCCGTGTGCGCCCTCCCCAGCGAGGAGTCGGTGCTCTGCCGGTCTGATGGCGCCGGGGCAGCCGCCCGCTCCGTTTCCCGGGGGCGGGACGCCCCCCCCCACCCCCCCAGTCCTTGTGAGGGTCTCGGATCGATCCCGCGGCAGCAGCGTCATGCCGCTCGCTGAGCCGTGTCCAGGCCCCCGTGTCTGGTGGGGCTCGTCCCCCCTCCCCGTTCTGCACACTTGGCTTTTCGGACCATTCATTCCCCTCGTCAGTGTGCACCCTGGCCCTGCCGTGGGTCCAACGCCATCCTGGGGGCGGAGAGCAGCTGCGTCGTTCTCTCCCGGCCCCTCCAGAGCGGCCTGGGCCCGCCCCCCCGCCCCCCGCCCCCCCCGGGGCCCCCTGTGGGCCTGCTCACCAACCTTCCTCTGGGTTGGGGGTCCCCATCCCCTCATTTCAAGCCCCGGGCTTGAGGGAGAGGGGCACCGCTGTGGCCCTTCCCCGAGGCCCTGAGCTGTTTCCCCACCGAGTGAGCAGGGCCCACGGGGGGCCCGGTGGCCCCCTGGCGTGTGGGCGCCCCAAGCTCTTTCGGGTCTCAGCGCCGTGCCAGGCCCGGTCGAGGCCCCTTCCCCGTCAGCAGGTTTTGGCGCGAAAATGCAGGAAATTCTGGGCCTGGGACCACGTCCCCAGCTCTCTCCAGGGGCCGCAGCTCCGGCTCTCCACCCGGGTGTCTGCTTCCTTCCCTGACTGACACCCCAGTGGGCCTCCTCCACCTCCCGTCCCCCCGCCCTGCTCCCCGTAGGTGCGTGAGCCGGCGAGGACCCCAGCTCCGGCCCCCCAGCTCCGGCCCCCCAGCCTCCACCCCGGGGCTGCGTGCAGGAGAAAGGTGCTGGGAGAGCCCTGTGGGCCGGCGGTCCCGATACTGTCCAACGGCAGCCCCGCCCTGGTGCAGAGGAGCTTCCTGAAACCACGGCGGCTGCCGGCTCCCCCCATTCCCCAGGTGCAGTCCGCTTCCTCCTGGAAGTCTGAGCTCCTGGGGGTCAGCGTGCCACGGGGTGGGGTGGTGCCGTGGAGCCTGGGGACCGGCCGCGGGGCCCTGCTCTGAGCCGCGGCAGACCGGCAGCGGCGGCCACGCCTGTCCGGAGGCCGCCATTGCAGCCGAGGACCCCTCGGTGCAGCCCTGGTCCTCGGGGCGGACGTCCGTCCTGAGGGGCGTCCCTCAGGCCCTGGAGGCGGCCACCGGAGCCCCTGGAGGCGAAAGGGAGCCGGAACCCCTGGCTCGCTCCCCGGACGGACCGCTGGGTCGTCCACCTGGGGCCGGAGCGACCCTGTGAGTCCCCAGCTCTACTCCGAGGTGGACACCCATGGGTGTTTGAGGTCCCTCCTGGCTTGGGCCCAGGGGTCGTTGCCAGCTTGGTCCTCAGGGGAGTGGCCTCCCTCCCACCAGGGGGACAATGTGGGGCGGATCTCGGCTGCACCAAGGACTTCGCAGGCACACGCTCACCCCGGGGGCCAGGGCCTCCTTGTGGGCAGTGCTGACACCACAGCCCGGGCCCCGGCTGGGGGCTGCCGCAGACGCCACAGAGGGACGCTCGCCGCCAGACCACCAGACCGAGGGTTCGTCCGCCCACCTGCCCGCACGTGGGGTGAGCAGAGCAACC